CTTTGTATGTCTGCTGCTCTGTGCATGGGCAGTCCTTGCTAAAGAGCTGCTGACTTGACTTCTCTCCAAACATGTGTTGAAGCTTCCCTCTTCTTTGTTTTCTTTCCTCTGTTTTTACGCTTCTGACAGCTTTTCCTGGCATTTCTTTCTTTAGTCCTTAATGAGATTTCAAGAATTCTGGGAGGAGGGGCGATCAAAAAGTGAAACTCTAAGAACTCCAGTATCCCCATTGCCACTGTGACTTGCCTAAGGCCTGTACCTGCTGCAGTCTTCTCTCTGCACATCCGTGTGGTTGAGCTTCCCAGGTGTCTCCAGAGCTGGGCTTCTAGATTGCAACCCCTCTTCCTCCCTCCCCCCCCATCTCAGAGCCTCCCTGAAGCTTGGCTTTGGGAGTGCCTCTGTGTGGAGAGATCCTGGCAATAATAATCCTGCAAATTCCACCCTTCCCCAGAAAACGGTAGGGAAGATCTCTTTTCCATTCCGGTGGTTATTTGGACATCTCTGGGTGGGAAGAGAATAGTTTTTTTAAGAACCAGTTCTTAGGGGAGTTTGGGAGAACTGAAGAAATTCCTAAAACACCTCTGGCTTCCCCCAAATCAAGCTTCATGTTCTATCTGGGTGCCTACTATATATGGAGACAAGAAAAGGGTTGGACATAGCAGGAATGAGGGAGGGAAACCTCTATATGCTGACAGTATTTCATAGTTTTACATATATTATTTCATTTAATTCCCTCACAGTCTTTCTGGTAGAAATTATTCCTATGTTACAGAAGAGGGAACTGAAATGCTTTAATAACTTATGTAAGATTATATGTGAGTCAGTGTCAGGAGTTGGTTTTGAACTGAGAATCTTTGTGGAAAGACCACCATTTTTTTAAAGATTTTATTTATTTATTTGAGAGTTAGAGTTATAGACAGTGAGAGGAAGAGACAGAGAGAGAGAGAGATCTTCCCTCCGTTGGTTCACTCCCCAAATGGCTGCAATGGCCGGCGCTGCGCTGATCCGGAGCCAGGAGCCAGGAGCTTCTTCCCGGTTTCTCATGTAGGTGCAAGGGCCCAAGGACCTGGGCCATCCTCCACTGCTTTACCAGGCCACAGCAGAGAGCTGGACTGGAAGAGGAGCAACCGGCACTAGAACCGGCGCCCATATGGGATGCCGGCGCCGCAGGTGGAAGATTAACCTACTGTGCCACAGTGCCAGCCCTGAGACCACCATTTTAAAACTCAACCTCTGCTACCTTCTCTGAGGTTCTTGCCATTCCTCTTTTAGGGCTGAAGAAGGAGGAAGTGGTTTGGCTGAGACTCGTGGAAAACAGCAGTCACCACATCATGAGGTAAGCAGTCTGGAAGGCTAAGATTGAGAGGGCAGATTATGGGGAGCCCTGACAGGCAAACTCCGGTGCTGCAGGCCAGATGTCGACACAGGCCAGGAGTGGAGCTTGAGGCTAGGGTGCCCAGCCAGACTTGCTTCTCCCTAGGGCATCGTGGCAAGCTTCATACTCACCCATGACCTGATGGTTCTCCTTCCACTAGACACAGCAACTATGAGGTTGTTTATGGTTTCCTAAATTAATTTCTTTGCAATATGATTTAATGGTGAATGTATCTCCCCTTACTCATCCCAAACATTTCCAGTGGTTTCTAGAAGCCCTGTTTTGACCCCCATTCCTCCAACCTCCCCCCTGGCACAGGGAGCTCTGGAGTGCTGACCTGGTTTGCAGCATTCGGAAATGATCTCATAAATTTAGTTTACCAAGCTTCTGACAATTGGCAATGAAGAAAGTGAAGTCAGAGACTATAGACAGATTGAGGTTCCATTCCTGGTTCTGCCACTTTCAATTTGTGGGGTTTGGAGACCATAATTAATTTCTCTATATCCCCAAGTGTTTCACCTGTTAAAAATCGAGTAAGACCTTCTTCCTCATCAGTTGTAGGGAAGATTCGAAGATGTGTCAACTCAGACCTCCTTAGATACTTGGCAGATGGTAACTTCTGTAGGTACTGAGCTGGGAGATACAGATCCTGTATCAGGTGTGCTTTGGAGACACAGGCCTTGCTCTCGAGAGGCTCACTGCGCAGTTCAGGAGACACGGTACGAGCTCCATCAATGACACGTGGAGCAGGTGAAGAGGCAGCGTGGAGGTGAAGGGAGAACTGAGTTCATCCTGGGTAGAGGTGAGGTGAGACGACTCCCTGGAGGGGACAATCAAAGCCTTGGGCAGATGTCCAGCTTGGGTTAATGTACAGCCACAACTTGGATAGTCAAGATTTCATCAAGGGATGCTAGCCCTCTGCTTCCTGCACTCCTCGCTCTTTAGTCCTGCTTTGAAAGCAAAAGCCTTTCTGTTCAAGTCAAAGAGCTTCTCTCCTGGACTTTGAAGCAATCTGGTCCTGATCACCCTATTTTTGGTCAGTTATTAGTGCTGCATTTGGAAAGATTGTTCTTTAGACCTGCAGTAGAGCTGTCATCTCGGACTCTCCCTTTACCATTTTAGGAATTCCCTCTACTTTGTTTTCTGAAACCCATGCCTTCCCGTCTTGGTAACCCTTGTTTTGATGAAATGCATTCTGTGGGATTTGTTGGTAATGGGTGAATCAGTTTGGAGACTGTGCACCTCTGAAATGTCTTCACTCTACCCTCATACTTTGTGGCTTTTCTAAATTAAAGTTCTAGAAACAACTGTTTCTAGAAACAATTCCCTGATTTTTGAAGGCACCGTTTCACAGTCTTCTGTCTTCCAGTGTGATTGTTATGTCTGAATCCATTCTCTATTTTCTGTATGGTATCTATTTCCCCTTCCTAGTGGGTTATATGAGCATCAAGTACCTTGATGTGGGTCTGTTTTCCTCCATTGCACTCAGCATTCACTGGGTCCTGGGAAAAGATATTCATGTTCTTAAACTCACGGGAAATATTCTTGATTTACTTCTTGGATGAGTTCCCCTTCTCCATTTTCTGTTTTCTCTGTCTGAGAACCCTGTTATTTGCATGCTTGAATCTCCTTGTCTGAGTCTCAATGTTTTTAATGTATTTCTGTTTCTGGTTGTTTTTCATTTTTGTTTGTTTGTTTGTTTTTGTCTCTGCTCTGTTTCCTTTTTCAACTTTATCTTCCAAGCCTTCTATTGAGTATGTTTGTTAAATTTGTGCTCTCATTTTAACCTTTTTAAAGTTTCTATTTGAATGTTCCCCTTTATCCTAGCACTGTGTTCTTGCCTCAGAGATACGCCATCTCCTCTTATCTTACTAAGGCAATTAAGGATTTTTTAAAAAGTTTTTACCCATAAATTGTCTGAGTCTCTTGCAGGTTGCTTGTTTCCTATTTTCTTTTGTGTCTGTCTCTAGTCGTAGAAGCTGTCTTCAAATGTCTGGTGTTCCTGGGCTACCGCTCAGGTGTGAGAGTGAGTTACAGAAGGCTGGCTGAGTCTGTACGTGCCTGGTGGGGTCTGAAATGCCGTCTTCATTGTAGATTGAGCCAACTCCCTGGGGCACTGCCACATTAGTATCTCCAAGGTTTTGTTTTCTATCAGGCTTCTAAGAGGACCCTGGAAGACTGACCTTCTGCCTGGATGATATATGGCCAACTTCTGGCATTCCTGGAACCCTATTTGGGGAGAAGCCTAAGGAGTTTCAACACTCCCTATGTATGGTTCTGCTTTTTCTGGATGCGATTTCTCATATCAACCGTGTATAATGTGTTGTTCCTCAGCCAGAGACTATCTATTTTGCCCTTCACAGAGTATAAACTTTAGCTTTTTTTTGGGACTGGGGAAGGAAGGTACTTAGTTATTTAGAATAGGAATGCGGATTTGGGGTGCTAACTCCTTCTTATGTAGAGTTTAAGCCAACCCCCCTAATGTCAGCTCCCCAACCTCACCCAATGCTGCCAACTCCTGAGCTTTATAGGGGTCCTGCCACATAGACATGGTTGCTTCTTAGCTTTTCACACTGCTGGCTTAAGATTCCATATTTGTTCAGTTAGTTGCAATTAACCATGCCTTTTGAACTTACTTTTTTTGTTGCAATTATCTCTTCTTCCTATTTCTTCAACCCCATTGGCTTATTTCTTTTGGAAATACTTCTTTATTTTCTTTTTAGAGCTTGTATGAGAGAATAGAGTTGTTAGGGCTACCCTTTTCTCTTTAAATGGAATTCCAGGTGTAGTTTTTGGCTTTCAAAGAACAAACACTAGGGCTAGTGCTGTGGCGTGGCTGGTAAAGCCACTGCCTTTGGTGCTGGCCATCTCATGTGGGAGCTGGTTTGGGTCCTGGCTGCTCCACTTCCGATCCAGCTTTCTGCTATGATTTGAGAAAGCAGTGGAAGATAGCCTAAGTCCTTGGACCCCTGCCTCTGCATGAGAGACCCAGAAGAAGCTCCTGGCTTCTGATTGGCCCAGCTTGGGGAATGAACCAGCGAAGGAAGATTCCTGCCTCTCTCTCTCCCGCCTCTCTATAACTCTTTCAAACAAATAAATAAATCTTTAAGGGGGGGCAGCGCTGTGGTGTAGTGGGTAAAGCTGCTGCCTGTAGCGCTGGCATCCCATATGGGTGCCAGTTTGGGTCCTGGCTGCTCCAGTTCCAACCCAGCTCTCTGCTATGACCTGGGAAAGCGATGGAAGATGACTCAAGTCCTTGGGCCCCTGCATCCTCGAGGAAGACCTGGAGGAAGCTCCTGGCTCTTGGCTTCAAATCAGCACAGCTCCGGCTGTTGTGGCCAACTTGGGAGTGAACCAGGAGATGGAAGACTCTCTCTCTCTAACACTCCATAGTATTCATTTAGTCTGAAAAAAATGTACAACCACAACCTCCCAGGGAAAATTAAATCTTTTCCACAAGAAGACACCTAAGTGATGGAAACCCACATAATTTTAACTTTTAGAAAAAAATAACGTGTGAGGCATCAGATGCTTACAGAAACCTTTAGTGTTGTGCCTACCCAGAGAGCAAATAAGCACAGTTCTGCCTGTCAACCTCCCTTCTCCCATCAATTAGACTCCAGAGTCCATTTTCTTGGTCCTTTTAATGTTAGCCTTTTAATATTTTCCAATAAGTGCTTTCAACTGGGCAATATACATATCATGCTTTCCTCATTATTATTGGTCCATCAATAAATATACAAAAGTCAGAGGAAGGGCGTGCTCGCAAAAATCAAAGTAACAATAGCAGTCATTGCACCTGAATGAACAAGGAGCTTTTCTTTGAAAATGATACAAATGGTTTACAAAAAGACATAGCTATGACCTGAAGATGAATAGACTATGTTATTCTTATTCTTAAATACCTTTTATTCTGCCAGGAAAATTGAATGTTTCCTCCCTCTACTCCTCTGCTGTAACAGTATTGAATGACTGTTGACTACAAAAAATAGTTCTTGGTATTAAGGATCTCAATGGAAAATTTTTGAGTTCTGTTGGAAAAATCCATACTTCCAGGCTAGAACCTGGAAAATCAAGACTTGAAGGTATGTTTTATCCCATTTGATTTTTCATTCAACAAATTTAAGCAAAGCCCTTAGGAGACATCAAAGATTTACAACTGCAAGAAAAATGACATCTTAAGATCTCAAGTTGCTTCAAAAAATAATTAAAGCTCCTGAATTTTATTTTAAATAAAGCCCATATCACATGGTAGAAATGCTGTGCTTAGGACCAAGCTGTCCTTCCAGGGTCATGATCACCATGTTCAAGGGGTGAGAACACTCCTATGCTATAAACTTCAGGCAATTTAGGGATATTGCAAAGATTGGGCAGCTCTCCATTGGAAGTTCTATTCCTCCCACCTTTCTATCTTGAGAAAACAGAGGTATATCCAAGTTGAGGACTATACCAATAACAAAAGCAAGATCATGTTTAACTCCAAAATAAAGTTGAAAAGAATCTCCTGTCCCAGGCTAATTCTGGGAGAATGTCTAGAAAGGGTTGAAACCATCCTTAGCTGTGAAACTCATCATCCATGGCTCCCAAAAGAGCCCGAGGGACAGGTAGAGAGCCTGGAGTCTTGCAGCTGGTTGTGTTGTGGCTGTCTGCATTCTGGCAAACGAACCTGGGTGAGGCTGTGTGGTTCTTTGGAGACCCAGGAAATCGCCAACATTTTAACCCTAGTGTTGGTAATAACAGAGTGGTCTGATGTTCATTCTTATTCAACTTGATAAAGAAAGAAACCAAGACAGCTGAATATGGAACTGACCAACAACATTCACCAAAGAGAAGGGATGTTTCTCAAGATCATGGCAGGGGTTGGGGGTAGAGAGAGGGTGGGAAAGAGGAGGGAGAGAGGGGAGTGTGTAGGGAAAAGCAGGAATTGGGACTGAGTGCAGGAAGTTGGCATCTCTCCTTGGAATATTCCCTTCACACCAAGACTTTGTATAAACCCCACCTGATTTCATCTTTTTTTTTTTATTTTTCGATCTGAGAAACATTGCCCATCAAGCCTATATATTTGGGCAACAAGTGGTTTTTTAAAGGGAAGCTTAGGAAAAGGAGTCTCATTTCATAGGAGCTTTTACTTTATAGATACTCTTCTATGGTCTGTAGACCTCGGAAGTTCCAGGGCAAGCAGGACACCCTGACTCCCTGACAAATAAAAGCTGCAAAGGGCTTGCCAAGTTAAATCAGGCAACAATGCTGTTATTCTCATGTTTGGTCATAAACTTGTTTATCTGGTGCTAGTATTGCAATGATGGGAATCCCAGTAACTGGAGGGATTCCCCATGTTCTTGACTCATCCTGAGTCTTAATAGCATGGAACCCAACCACTGGCTTGATAAAGTCTTAGCAGTCCGATTGGACCTATGCCACATGCCCCTCACCAAACCATGCCTACCAGTTTACTATTGACTGTATTCGTTCACCCTCACTGGCTTTCATGTTATTAAAAGTCTTCAAAAGACACTTTCGTGATGTTTCTGGAAATCACAAAAAGGATCAGAGTGGATGAAAGAGCCCCACCCACCCCCCCTGGTGGTAGGTCATGCAAACTTAATGTGACCTTCCAAAGCTGTTCAGGGAAGAGGACAGGTACCCACTAAAAGTCAAAGTGGCTGAAGCCTTCTGCTTACAATTCTGACTCCAGGACAGGGCAGAAAGCTGCTGGCCAGCCTCACACATGAAATGGTGCTGCTTCCTGGATCTTCTAGGAGACCTGGCTAAGTGAGCCTAAGAGAGGGCTGTGGGGCTCTGGGGTGACTTCCAGGAGGGCCATTCTCCAATCATCCTCATGAGCTGCAGAGTCCAGACCTTCCTGGGTTAGAAACTGAAGGACACAAAGGATTAAGATGGAAGAAGTAGAGATATTTATTATGAATCAGCTTAAACCCTTTTATGCCTCTGGCAAAGTAACTTTAAAAAAATCATACTGATTGAAGGACCTCCAGGGTTTAATATTTCAAAAACACAGATAAATAGCTTACTACAGATAAATAGCTTCACCCTGTGGGTGTCTCCCAGAAGCATCTGAAAAATCTCCAGGGGGTGTTTGTAAAAGGGGAGGTATAACCAGTACACCCTGACCCCTACCCCACTGGGAAGCAATGCCCAGGGACTGGACTGCTGGAGAGGCAATATGGACCCATTCAAATTTCCTCTCCAGGGCCCATCCCTCTTAGCTCTGGGAATGTCCTCAGCTGGTGGCTGCCACCTGGGAGGTGGGGTAAGGGGAAGGTTGGGGATCAAGAATATGTATTTGTGGCATTTGAAAGAAGCCATCCATAGCACACCCCGGAAGATGGAAGGCCTCTACGTGGGAACTGGAACGATCAAATTTTGCGGATTATTGATTGGGTCTTCATGTCAGAAAGCAATGCTATTTTTACAAACTGGGCCTGACTTTAAAAAACAAAACACACAAACAAAAAAAAAAAAAAACAAAAAGGAGTAGAAAATTTTATGCTAAAAAAAAGATCCCCCAATAAAGCAATCAGTAGCACATTGCATCTGTTCAGTGTCCCAGCTCCCTGTAATGGTTATGTCTCCAAAGCTGTTTCTTTCCAAGGTAAAGGGGTAGACGTTACACCCCAATTTTCATGTCCACATTCTGCAGGTTCCGTGTCTCATCTGCTGTCATACACTGATCTGGGGTCTCTGATGACTCTTTGTTCACCAAATGCACCATTTCCTGAGACTTGCTGGCTTCTCCGTTGAGTCCACTGGGTTTTCTGTCCTCCACAGCTCCGTTGCCATTGTTGATCACCAGCTTTTTCTTCTGCCCACACCTAAGAAGTAAGAAAGGGTGCAATGACTCAGTCATCCCCACCACAGTCACCATCGCCATGGTGCTCATCCCTGCTGGTCGTCTTTCTGGCAAGCACTGGGATGAGTTCTTGCTCTATTTACTGACTCTTAACAGCCATACTTCTCAGAGTGAGATCCCAGCAGCAAAGGCATCATCTGGGAACTTTCTGGAAATGCAAATTCTCAGCCCCACCCCAGCGTGGGCCCCAAGACCAGAGGGCTTCTGCTGCCTGATCAAGTTTTGAGAATCTGGGAAGCTGGTGCTATTATTACCTCCTAATGCAAGTGAAGAAGCACTGGGGACCAGAGGACTCAGTTACTGCCCCCCCCCCCAGTTACTCAGCATGTAATAAAGATGTTGGGATTCAGAGATGGGCATTTGGACTAGCAGTGAAGATACTGGTTAGGATGCCGGTGGCCCACATCAGAGTGCCTGGGTTTGATTCCCAGCTCCAGCACCTGATTGCAGATCCCGGGAGGCTGCAGGTGATGGCTCAATAATTAGCTTCCTGCCATCTACGTGAGAGACCTGGCTTGTTCCTAGCTCCCAGCTTCAGCACCCCTATTGGTTGCAGTCATTTGGAAAGTAAACCACAGGATGGACCCTCTCTCCCTGTCTGTTTCTGTCAGTCTCTCTCTCTCTCTCTCTCTCTCTCTCTGCCTCTCAAATAAATTTTTTTTAAGTCTGAATTCAAATCATGATCTGCCTGACTCCCAAGTTACACTGCATAACAGAAATGTTTGCCTCTTTGAAGCACTTTGGCAGTTTCTATAGACAGAAAAACCATCAACCTGATGACTGTGCATTATTTTTATCTGTGTATTCAAGAACGTCCTACCACTTCCGCTCCCAGTGAACACTTTGTTGTTCTTGACAGCATTTGTGTCGCATGAACTGAGAAAAATAAGACACTAAACTAGAAGTGTATGGTCATCTTGATTTTTTCTCTGACATTGATTAACTTCCATACAACCATGGACCTAGGAGGTTTAACAGCATAAGACAAATGCTTAACTGTTACTTGAAGGTCTTTTGTGGAAGAACATGGCCATGATTTTGCCCGTGGGGGTCCTGCCTTAGCATTGCCTCACCCCTCCCAGCTACTGCAATGTTTCCTCTTTCCTCTAGCAACATCATAGCTGTACATGTGGAAGTCAGATTATGCTAACCGGAAGCAAAGTTGCATAGCCTTACAACTACAAGCAAGGTGAGGAAGAAGGGAAAATGTACTCGCACTTATTGGAAACCTCCTGAATGCCAGACATTTTATAAGCAGTTTCCCATAATCCTTACAACGATCCTACAAAGCAGCTATTATCCCCATTATACAGCCCTGGGAAACTGAGCCTGGAGAGGCTTAATAGTTTGTTTAATTAAGGTCACACAAGGGATAAGAGTGACAGAGTCAACATTCAAATCTAGGCCTTTGGGACCAAAAGCCCGGCTGCTGCCTGGCTCTATCAAAGCTGCCAACCATCTGGAGATCTGGAAACGGTATCAAGTGGGAATTGTTCACTTTGCCGCCGGATATCAGAGTTGTAGACACAAAGCCTCTATTATTCATGATCATGGGCCATTCCTGGTAGGACTGCCAAGGCAATAAACTTTAATCTCTTGTTTGGGGAAATAGAAATTATACCTCTTTCAGGAGGTAGATCCTGTCTCCTCTGGCATGAGGCTTGATGAAGGGTGGAGGGAAGAAGGGTGAACTGTGATCAGACTCGTGGGGGCTGGGACTATATGCATGGCATGGATTCCACACAGATGGCAGGGCACATGGCTGAGAGAAGGCCTTGGAAGGGCTGGTCCTGAGTCCTTATTGTGGTGTGATCTGGTGCAATTCACCTAACATCTCTGACTGAGTCCTGGTTTCTGTGAGTGTAACATTAGGCTATTGAGAATATAAGTCTCACCAGATGGTGAGATTGAACATCTATGGTGTGTCAGGATTCGCTGCTCTTATTAGGGATGTCAGATGAGAAAACAAAGGCCCTGGTGGGTGCTGAGAACAGTCCCTGGAGCACAGGAAACACCTGAGAAGTGCTGGCTCTACTTGGGAATACGGCAAGAGCCATAAGAAATGGACTTTGTTTCTTCTGGCTGCCTCCACCGACCTTGTTATCTTCACTACGAAGCTGTCTTAGAAGGCTGCAGGCAGAACACTGCTTGTATTATTTCACATTCACAGGAAGTACCCTGTGTTCTTTGGAGGAAGGTAGTCTTATTAAAGCGATTTCCATTGCCCTATCTACTGGGTAGTTGAGCTGTGGGGTGACATATAGTGGTATCTGTGAATGAGGGTAGGATGAGGGTTCATGATATTGATCTAAATGAAGCTGATTTTGAACATGGATTGCATTCACCCTGTAGAACGTAGGGCTGTTGTGCTTGGGCTGTGGCTTACCCCATTCTATGGCTCTCTGGTATCTGTCTCAGCTGTTTTAGAAGAGGGGGCGGATTCTCCTTAGGAAGTCCACCCACTATGTACTGCATGAGGCATTTAATAAGTCTCTTTCAGGGCAAAGTCTAATTTTCTCCAACTTTTAGCTATAGGGATTCAAGAAGGAATATCAGAGGCAGAGGGTCTTCAGACCTGATCCAGTGTAACCCCTTCCTTTACCCAGGAAGCCAAGAGTATGGTCCACAGCCACACTGTTAGTTACGGCAGCGCCAGAATCACCACTGAGAAGTCCTGTCTCCAAAGGCTGCAGAACCCCCCTAACCCTGTCTTGTCTTTGTTTCCTCTTCCTTAAATCTTGAGAATTAGGTGGGCGTACAGCCACAACACAACCTAAGAGGAGCCAGGCAGGAACCTCACCAGAAGAGGGGGGAAAGGCTGAATAGGGCTGAGAATCCAGGTAACATGCAAATGTATTTCAGAAAGTTCATGAAAAATGTAATTAAAAAAAAAAAGCTTTGCCAAAAAGTTTGAAATGCATGCAGTTTTTTCATAATGTGCATTCTCTGTGAACTTTTTGAAGTTCCTGTCTAAGCATGGATTTCAAAAGTTTTAGGCACCAAAATAAACTGGCCCTTTCATCTCATTCTACATGAACTTTTTGAGATACCTTTTAGGACATAGTAGAATTTATCTCTAAACACTTAGGCAGGTAACTTAACAATGGATCTTGTGTATCTTCTACTTGACTACCCTTAAAGTTAGTTAGGGATCTCTTTGTACTGTTTACAGCTCACTATCCAACACGGTGGGCTCCAACCACATGTTGCTACTCGAATTTAAATGGATAAGCATTGAATCAAATTAGACATTCACTTCTTCAGCTGAACTAACCACATTTCAGGTGTTCAGAAGCTGTAGTGGCTACAAGTTATGTATCGGACAGTGCAGATAGAGAACATTTCCAGCATAGCTGAAAGTTCTATCAGTGTTATTCTAGAACAAGATCAGATGAGCACAGATCACAGCAAGCTAGACTAGACTGTAAGAGAAGGCAGACACTTCTAGAAAGCATGGAGATTTTCAGGAGGTGAACCAGCACCCCTTGGGTTTATAGGGAAGACAATTATTCCTATGAATAAATGAAGTGACAGCAGGTGCACACCCTTCTGCACCATCAGCCCAGGTACATCCCTAAACCCTTCCTGTTGTGTGACACCTTCTCCAATACCTGCCTCTTGTTTTCTCCTCTTCCAGTTAATGGGAGAGATCTTTAAAGGGAAAGGTACCTCAGGGCTTCTTCTCTTGGGCTGCATCCAATGTTTACCATAAACACAACTGACTCCTAAAGCAATTTGCTCTGAAAGAGCATCAATGAAATGTGGTTTCCATGGCAAAGTTGCAATTCAAGGAGTCTGGTTACATTATGGGCAGCAAGGAAAGCTGTTGTGAGTTATGGCAGAGGTGATGAAAGCTAAAGAAATAAGAGAAATCCCCAAACATCATCTTTAAGATGATGTAACCCAGGGGAAGTTCATCATGGAAACCCCTGCACAATCCTCGCAAGCCAACTTTGGCGATGAACCATTTTTCTACTTTCCTCTCCCAACCATAATTCATGTTACAATGCTGGCCCGCAGATGCTCTCAGAACACAGCAGCTGACGTGAATTCAAAAGCCCATAGTGCCACGGAGCCTCAAGCTTCTTTTGGGGAAGGAATGGCACTCTTCACTGTTTTATCTTCTCTTTCACCTTGCCAGAGCTGGCCATCATGGGAGCCCCTCAAAAGATGTTTGCTGAAAATGAAGGCCTCATGTCCAACCAAACTTCCACGGATGAACACAGGATTCAGGATCTCTCTTAAATGTGACTGCTCAGAGCAGCAAGGCCTCAGGCTTTTAAGAGGATTAAAAATGGGCTGGCAGCCTTAGAGACACGGTGACATTAAGGGGCTGTGTAGCTATTAACCACCCTGCAGCAGAGTGGCCAATCTGTTTTCAATTATCAAATCAGGACATGGTAATTTATGGCATCCAAGCAGCTACTTTCCGAGTGAGATACTTGCTGTGCTGGATGCTGCGTGTCCCTGTTTGCCTGTTGCTAGGGTGACTGCTTGGGATGAGAGGGAGGGGAGCCAGGAGGCCCCTGTGTGCTGCTGACAAGACAAGAGTGATGTGGGGAGCTAAGCAGGCAGTGTACAGATTCCGGCTGCCCTGGGGGATGCCTGAGACGCTTCTCGGAAGTCTTCCCAGCTTCAACAGCACCCAGGACCAACGGGTCTATGGTGACATGTGCAGAGCTTCAGCACTGTATACGCAAGCAAAAGTAGTACAGTCTAGGGCCTGGAACAAAACGGCCAATTCCAAACAATAGGAAATTCATATTTAATTGAGCAAAAGTAATTCTTGGGAACACAAGGAAGCTGAGGAGAAGTATAAAGACTCTTTGTAAAGGCTCCCTCAAGCCACATTATTTAAATGCAACTGAAAAAAAAAGTCTTTCCATTTGGTCTTAGCAGCCTGTTAGGAGTGTTTTAGATTTTCCTCCCTCACTTTTTATTGCTTATAAAAGATCAGCTATCATGATGAATGTCTTAAACTATAGAGAGCAACAAGACTCTTCGATTTTAATATAGGTGCTTTTATTAACCTGTACCACTATAAACCAGCATTATTTTATTTCCTCCACTAATCAGAGGAATTGTATAGGTTGTGGACGGCATTGGAATTAGCTGTTCATTGCTTTCCAAAAGCCAACAAGAAAGATTCTGTAATCCTCTCCAGGTCTTCTCCCAAACTGAAGGGCACCTTCTAGCCTGTGAGATGATCTGGAGGCACAACCAAGGGGGGCCCCACTTAGAAAGGATTCTTTTGCCTTAGGAAAGGCATTCCTAAGGTGTGGGGAGCAACTCGGACTAGACTAAGTTACTGGAATTAAGACTTATTCTATGCATCTGCTCTCCCACAATATGGCGCTGAGAAGGGAGTAAACAACTTTTACACAGCTGCCTCCAGTTCGACCAATGACCTGCAGGAGCTGATCCTGCTCCTGATTGGAGGAGAGCAGCGTACTCGGCATGTGGGTAGCAGAGTTGAGATTGGTGGAAGAGGACTATAAAGGAGGAGAGAGACAACATGCACCAGGAACGTCTAAGAGGAACATCTGAGGGAACACCTGTGCAGCCCCCAAGAGAGCCGGCCGGCGGTGTGCCGCTCCCCCGCGGAAGTAGGGAAAGTGGCAGGGGGGCCCGCCCCTCCACGGAGGTGGAGGGACGGCAGCCAACCCGGGAAGAACCAGCAGCAAACCCGGGAAGGGCCGAGCAGACAAAAGAACAGCACAGGGTCCTGTGTCGTTCCTCTGCGAAATGGGAGAGCGACATCAAGGCACATTTACAGAACGTTTAACGTTCCTGTGCACAGGCTTGGAAAGTAACGCACCTGTAAGCGTCTGCAGTAGGAATCTTAAGACTTGTCCCTGTGGACGTCCATGCCAAAGCTCACTTCCTCTGGTGCTAGAATTACTATTTGCCCTCACTTCACTTTACATGGTGCTGTTTCTGGAGCCTTTTCCTGGCTCAAACCAGTCTACGTGTTGTGTAAATAACTTAGAACATGACGGGCCTTGGTGAAAGCAGGGCGCGAGGAGGGCCCTTCATGATGTGAAACAGCCCACTTGCGGGTCCTGGGGAGTTGACTGTCTTCATTCAGACTTTCCCAAAGCAAGTTCTCCATTGTTTCACAGACCCCACTGGGAGGAAGCTCTTCCTAGGCTACTCCCTGAGTCCTGTCAACTGCAGCTTTCAGAAAATCAAAAATAAAGTCATTATAGAAAACCAGAGCACAAAACCAATGCTTGCTCCAAGTAAGGGTTCTGCAAGCTTCCACAGGCCTCTGATAGGCTAAAGGGGATGGAGAAACCCCTTGAATCTTTATACAACTCCCAGGGGGCACATTATCAGGAATCTGGAGTCAGGAGCTACAGCGGGACTTGGACCCAAGCAACCCAATATAGGATGCATACATTCCAAGGGGGTATCTTAATCTCTAAGCCAAATGCCCATTCCTACTTCCATTTTCTCCATGAGGTTTTTGAAGGCCCCTTGTACTGAGCCTTCCTAGGGAGATAGTTTATTTGTGATTTTTATGACTCCACGGGATTTCATCCTGAAACAATCAAGAGCTACGAAAGTCTCAGCCACTATTTAAAAGTGATACTCCAAACACCCACAGGTATTACTTTTTGTAATGAATGGGACAGAGAAGGGTCTCTTACACCACCTGGTGCACCTGGTTCCCTGGGAGCTGTTGGCACACACAGCCTCTGGTGCTGGAGGTCTGAGGTTGGGTCTGAGGTTCTGCATTCCCAACAAGCTCTCAGTGGGTTGCGGCTGCTGGCTGCGTGGGCTACACTCTGAGCGTCAGGGAGACAAAGCCTCGGTTTCACTGATGCCCTGTCAAACTGGAAGGTCCCAAGCAGCCTTCTCTTACCTTCTTCGACTGTTGACCGCGATGCAAACCGCAAGAATCAAGGCCAGGGCCAAGAGGGATGCCAGGATGATCAGCCATTCTGTGTGAGTGAACCACAAGATATGCATGAACTTCCCGCACAAGCTGTGTGAAACCAGCACTTTACTGCAAAAATTGCCCTGAGCCAAACGAGGACCCCAGGCAGCGTGGCAAAGGGGTCTGACCCACAGGTCTGGCCGACCAGTAGATAATCCCACAAGGGCAATCTTATTGTAGGCGTTTGTCCAGCAGACTTATATTAATCTTTTATCATCAGACAGGATTTTCAAGTCTCTCCAGCAGAAACATGTCTCCATTGAGGTTTAGAGTGACTTGTTGAAACTTGTAGATGCCTTTGGTGCAATATTATTAAATAGATTAAAGGAAATATAGGCTTATAGGCTTCTTTCGCAAGGAACCTTTTTTTTTTTCTATATACAAGGGCATCTGCCTTACATTTTATTAAGAAACAAAAATGGAGGCTACAATTGCAGTGTGTGGGCAAAGAACACTGCTATGGAGTGCAGAAAGAGGGTATATTTGTACACACTTGACAATGGCTTTCAAAATATTAATGGTTTTGATTTAGCAACTACATTTCCAGAAATTTATAGGACTTCAGAATTACCTATAAAGATGCTCAGTACTATGTTTTATATAATAATAAAAGTTCAAAACAATATAATATCTGACAAGAGGGGATTAGTTAAATAGATTAGGGTGCATCCATTGTATTATGTACAATGATATAAGGGGGAAATATTTAATGACATGGAAAACTATGGTTAACCAACAGAGAATGTTGACTAAACAGCACATAGGAAATAACCACATTTTCCTATATAAATTACATTGATAGTTGATAGCAAAACATGTATTAAAATGGTGATCATTTTCTGGATAATTAGATAATAAGTGATTTATATTTTCACTCTTTTGTTCAGTAGTATTTTCTAAAATATCTTCAATAATTATGTACCACTTATAGACTAATAAAATATTACATATTTGTTTTGAAAAATCAGACTGTAATAGGATTAAAATATGATTTGGTGATTTGAATTAATTTAGTTGCAAAGCGGATTGTGTATATTTGTGTGATAAACCAGGGCTTGGGTACAAAGAAAGATGGACAGTCATTTGCCATCCGTTTCTCTTGGGAGATCTTGGTTTTCCTGTGTGCTGCTCGACACTCCCTCTGTCTACCTCTCTCTGATTTAGATGAGCTTAGAGAGAGGGAGGAAGGCAGAGTAGGAGGACAGGGAGGCAGATAGGAGGATACTATTTCTGTTCTTTCTCCGCACCCAATCCCAGCCCTGGGGCTGTCCTGGTCTTGCCCTGAGATGTCACACACTCCCTGTCTCCAGAGCTGGGGAGAATCCTGGTGCCCAGCACGGCTTAACTACACCCCAGCTTGCCTTCCCCCTCCCCCTGGCAGCCCATGGCCCGCTTGCCATGTGCTCTGGCCTCAGGTGTGCTCCGGCAAGCTGAGGCAGAAAAACAAGGCACATATCATGTTCTTCTTTTTCCCAAATCAGTTCAGAGACCTCTAAAGAGGGGGAAATTAACAGGGTAATTTCCAACCCTAAGAAGAACCCTTCCCTTTTGTAATCCCCCTTCCAAGTGCTCACTTTGGACTCCAAGCCAAAGACTTTGCACCAAACGCCTTGAATCTTGATGCCAGGAGAGCCAGGAGTCCTGCCCCTCTCCCATCACATACTTCCTGAAACATTTCTTTCTTTTGTCCGCAAGAGTGGACCATCCCCGGAGAAAAAGTCATTTGGGGACCAGAAGAATGTTTTCACTCCACTCAACACAATGGCCCTTCCATCTCCTCCCTTGCTGCAATGTGAGAAAAAATTACACACTTCACCCCAACCCCACAAATAAAGGGGAGACTACACTGGGGAGGAAGGACCCTGCCATGAACTGGCGTGCCCTGCGTGATCACCCATTTAGGGAAGAAGCTGTCCATCTTTCCTGTTCCCCAAGCTCTGGTTCATTGCATGCATATATAACCCACTTTGCAACTAAATTCCTTCAAATCATGGCACTTCCTTGGGACACATCTAGCACAGGTCTGAGTGTGAAGTTAGTCCATCTACAAGACCCAGGGGATTCGGGAAGAAAAGAACATTCTATGCTTTCATGCCAAGAGGCTGTAGTACTCTCAGTGGGCCTGGCCAAAAGGATTAATCAGGTTCCAAGGATAGGCATTTAGGAGAATGTGTTTTCAGTTGGGTCTCTTCCTTCCCAAGACATTCCAAAAAAGCTGTTTTAAGTATCCTCTTGTGATTCACAGTTTGAAACTCACCTGGAATTTGGGGCTTCCTGATGGGACCAGAAGTTGTGTTGACCCCACCATCTTGACTCCCACTTGAGTGACCTAAGTGGAGAAATGACAACATCTGTCAATCATAGCAGCACAGGGACCAACTTCTAACTCCTCTGTCACTGAGAAACTTTATAGATTCAAGTTGCACAGGTTTATAAGGCGTAAGACAAAGTTTATTCCCCCTAAAAAAAAGGTTCATTGTGATTAAGGCCCACATTTGGAAGTGTTGTTTCCTATCAAGGAACATGAGAATGCCCAGGAGCAGTGTCGTGCAGTTTTCAAGACCTTGAACTCTGGAGCTGGACAGCCCTGCATCTAAGTTCCAACTTTGTCTCTTGCTAGTACTGTGTGCTGGGTCAAGCCACTCTCTCAAAGTCTCAGTTTTCTCATCTATAAAATGGGGGATAATATTAGAATCCACTTCATAACTTTACAGAGTTTTAAAGAAAGACACAAAAATAGTGGTAGTGTATGGTGGTTGTTTTCTATTTTCAATTCAGGGCCTTGCTACTCAAAGTACAGCCCCTGAACCAATAGAAGAGACATCACTTGGGAACTTGCTAGGGATGCAGAATCTCAAGTCTTACTCCAAACCTACCAAATTAGTTTTTAACAAAATTCCCTAAGGGATTCACATACACCAGAAGATACAGAGTGAATCTAAAAATTACATCCAATATCATCATAGAAGCCAACGTAAAAACACACAAAAAATGAAGGCTTTGGGGAGCAATGGCCCCCTCTGTCTATGAAAAATCATCCTATTAGAATCCTTGTTAATATGTTAATGAAACACACCTGTGTCGTTAGCAAAATGAACATTTTGTACTGCTGAAAGATCAAAATAAGGAAATGAACCAAACCCCTCGAGGAAGGAAGCATTGCATGACAGAGAGTCTACAAGTCAAAACCACATGCAGCTTGTCAAAATGAGGAAGGCAGTACATCGTAACAGTGACTTCTAAGATAGCTTGTGCATTAAAACTTCAGTTTTTCACACTTCCTCCACTGCTTCAAAACAACATTTGAAAAAGCCCCACTAAAGTGAATTTTTTTTCCCTCCCAAAAGAGAATGTGGCAGAATCCTAAAGGTCAATCAAGGGGAGAGAAAAAAAAAAAAAAAAAAAAAACACAGGGAAGTGGGCTTGGCTAATCGATGAATGAACGTAGCAGGGCCTCAACTGAAAAGCTTTCCATAGGCAGACAACCTTTAGACTGTACAAAGCAAACACCAAAAGCTTGATTACAATTGTTATTTTGGGTAGAATGGCTCCTGTTCATGCAACTTCATGTTTTTGCTAAAACTCAAAATGGGGCAAATTCTTACCAGATGTCTGGCTGTTTCAGCACTCCCCATCCCATTTTGATAGGGGCCTTTTACTCCACAAGCCTACGACAGAGTCCAAGGCATTTTTCTCCCTCCCTTCCAGTGTCCTTGGTTGTTGGCAGGTGCACAAATCATGTGATATTGGCCATCTAAATTGCAGATCTTTGGCCTGGAAAACCACCTACAGGGAACAGTCAACTCTTGCTGGCCTGCTTTCTGACTCACAGCAGCCTTTGATATTTGAAAGGGAGGCCATTAATGGATCATAATCTCTATTTTGATTTTCCAAAAAAAAAAAAAAATGCCCCCAGCAAGGAAAGATCTGAGTGTGTGTAAAACAAGATGAAACCTCCTGTTTGAACAATAGACACCTGCACAGGAGCCAAACAAAAGAGACTGGTTCCCGCCCACCTGGTTCTCACTTGAAGCAAAAGCTGGCAAGGATGGACAAGAGACAGCAGGCCTTGCTTTGTGCCCCAGAGGTCCACAAATCTAGCCAGGGTAGGACTAGCTGGGTGAGCAAGTCCCACAGAGAGGGGCCTGGGACAGTGTTGTTGGGAGATGAGATCCAAGCTGAGACGTGTGCACAACAGTTTTGTTGGCTTCCATGGTGGGAAAAGCAGTCTGGCACAGATCTTTTAATGTTCACACGAATACAGGGGAGGGGAGAGGCTTGGCTAAAATGCAGATTCTGATTCAGTAGGTCTGTATTGGCTAAAGTGGCTGCATTTCCAGTAAGTTTTCAGGTGCTGTCCATACTGCCTGTCCATGTGCTATATCGAGAGTGAGTAGGGTCTCTCAGTTTTAGAGAGCATGCATTTTAAAAAAACGTTCCTTAGTGCTTCCAAAATCCATTCCTGATACCTTGCACAAGAACTCTAGGTCATAACTAGCCAGGGGATTTGATCTCCCTTTCACTAAGAAGGAAAACTGAGGAGGAGAAAGGTTAAGTGTCCTGCCAGGGGTCAGCGCTGTGGCATAGTGTGTTAAGCTGCTACATGCAGTGCCAGCATCCCATATGGCTGCCAGTTCTCATCCCAGCTGCTCCACTTCTGATCCAGCTCCCTGCTAATGGCCTGGGAAAAGCAGTAGGGGATGGCCCAAGTGCTTGGGCCTGTGTACCCATGTGGGAGACCCGGATGAGGTTCCTGGCTCCTGGTTTTAGTCTTCCCAGACCAGACTGTTGTGGCCACTTGCGGAATGAACCAAGCAGATGGAAGACCGGTCTTCCTCTCTAACTCTCTCTCTCTCTCTCTCTCTACCTCTGCCTTTCAAATAAATAATAAATCTTTAAAACAGAAAAGTGTCCTGAGAGGGGGCCTGAGACTTCTGTTTCTCCTTCAGAGAAGCATTTCTGATGAGCTGCCACTTCCCAGGGCCGCTACAGATGGACGTCAATGTCCATCTTCAGATTTGCTTTAAATACGTGAGCATTTAAACCTGCAGGCAACCCTTGCCCCAGCATGGGCATGAAGGGGGAGGACAATGGTTGATTTGAATTAACAAACTGGTTCCCATGAGGTCACCTGGATTGGCGACGCTCAGGGAGGCAGCACTGGCATAGGCATCAGTAGGCGCAGCCTCCATAGTCATAAATAAACCTCATGTGAGACTCCCATTGCCTGAAGTCACATTTTCAATGGAGAGATATGAGTGCCTGTAAACAGGAATCAATTGAATAACACACGTGCTTGGCAGTAATTTCAGCCATTATGGAATGTTTTCTCCAGACTGTGTTTATGCAAGGTTAACACAGGGGGTCTTCAAGAAGTTCATGGAAAATGCACACGATTAAAAAATTGTGCATGGACTTCAATTTATTTTTTTGTCCAAAACAAGCTTCTTTTTCAATTCCATATTCCGATGAACTTTTTGTGGTATGCTTACCTGTGACCCTGGGGCTTGAACTCTGGCTTCACCACTTGCTGGCCATGTCAGCTTGGCCAGGTTACCTACTGCTCATTGCTTAACTCACAGGTGAGCTGACTAAAGCTGAGCCTCCACTTCCCCATCTGGAATATGGGGATAATTTTAGTACTTACAAACACCACAGGGTTTGCAGTGTGACTAAATGAGTTAATATTAGATGAGCACTGAGAATTTCCTGACACATAGTGCCTGTTTTTGACCTACAGAAATGGGAATTGCATTGAGCCAACATAATACATGTAAAGTCTTTAGAGCAATGCTGCTGGCACACAGGAATTTCTCAAGAAATGCTGGCTTGTACATTGTGTGCAACACATTCTGCAGGTATCTCTTGTTCAGTTTTTAAGATGATACCCTGGGACAATTATTATTGTTCCAAGTTCGTTGGCTTGGAAATTGAGTCTCAGGGTCTCTAAACATCTTGCTTCGATCATATGTGGAAAACTGGGCTCCACTCCAAGCCATTCTTATTCAAAACCCATGCTGTTAATCGCTATGGTATAGTGCCGTGTTTAATTGGGACCCTGCTTGAATTTTTCCTGACTTTGCAGATGGAAGGCTTTCCTTCTGAGCAGTAGTTCTGAAAGTGCCATGCCTGACCCAGAAGTATCAGCATGACCAGGGAGCTTTTCAGAAATATGAATGCTTGGGTTCCCCCCTCCAGATCTACTGAATCAGAAACTGTAAGGGTAGGGTACCACTATGTGATTTAACAGTCTTCCTGCGAAGCTGAAACATGCCGAGGAAGTTTGTGAACTACTTCTGTAGCAGCCCTGACTCAAGGGTCAGGAATGATCATCAGATTCAATGACTGAAACAGTAAATGACTAAAGCAGCTACAGGCTCACCAGCTGATTCAGATCCGTGCGTGGTATGGGACCTCTTGCTGGGGTCGATGGATGAGCCTCGGTCTCCTGTAATGAGCGGGGAAGGAAAGTCAGTACTGTGTGCTTCCACTTCCATTGCCATCTGGACTTCCTTGCATTTGCATGTTCATACAGCCCACTGCAAAGCATGGTGCTTTTTTTAAAAAAAAAAAGTCTTATTACTTTATTTATTTGAAAGGGGAGGGATGGAGAGAGATGGATTTCCCATTCATTGATGCATTTCCCCAAATACCCACAACCACCAGGATTGGGTCAGGCCAAAGCCAGAAACTCAATCCAGATCTCCCAAGTAGATGGCAGGGACTCAACTGCTTCGGCCATCACCTGTTGCCTTCCAGGGTGCTTAATGGCAGGAAGCTGAAATTGGGAGTGGAACTGAGACTTGAACCCAGGCACATCAATATGGGATGCGGGCATCCTAAGAAGTTTCTTAACTGCTGTGCCAAATGATCAAATCAGAATTTAATGTTCTAAAGGTAGGGGAAAAAAAACAATGATAAAAGAGGCTGGAAAGGGCCCATCATATTAATTACTGCTCATTGCTTAATCCACAGATGAGTGGGCTAAAGCTTTTAGCAAAATTAAGGCAACTGAGACAGTGCAGGCCATCAAAGATAACTACAGAAAATACTGTTTAGGTAGAAACCTGAGGACTGTGGCGAAGGACTCTAATAAAGACAGCATGATGTCTTCAGAGACCTCAGGTGGCAAGTAGACATGGTGTATTTTAAATAAGAACTATACAAATCTGCTTATGAGAAATGTGATTGCTAGAAATGGGTCTTCTGCCTCAGGGCATGAGACATTTAAAGAGAGTTCTTGAGACAAGAAATTGGTCTGTATTTAAAGATCTTGGGTTCGAAAGATGTAAAGATTCAAAGAGAAAAGTCCGTTACTTATTGAGTGAAAGGAAAAATAAAAAGTAAATGAAAAACAAAATCATGAGAATAATGCGTGTCTTAGTATTAGAATAACCTTCAAATAATATTTTTCAAAAGTTAAGTCTATATTTCAACAGCAATAGTTAATATAATCCCTTCTTCTCAAGTATCCATCATCACAGGGTTTTAGATTGGCACAAGTTCATGAACTGCTAAAATCTAAATTCACAGGCCAAATCTTGAGTTCAGTACATAAAAACTCCCCTCCTCACCTCATCACCCAGTTTTTTGATATATATTGAAGCCCTTTTTTAAAAAAAACAATCACAGGACAAGGCAAGGGTTTTTGTAGTCATCCATTATGAAGGCATCCATAAGGAACACACAGTAGCTTGGTGATTACCGTTTCCTTGATTATAGGTCATCTGGGATCACTCCTGTAATTATATTGAAGAGGCAGATTGCTTTGTTCCCTGGCTGATGATCCAAATCCCTGAAGACAGCAATGTGCTGAAATGCCACACCAATATTGCCACTACCCAAATCACCAATGCCAGCACTAACTCCACCACCGTCCCTGTCACCACCACCACCACCACCACCGCGATTCCAAATGTTTTCATTCTCAACACTCAGCATAAAGACAGAGAAACGGTGTGGTCAGAGAAGAGACTTACATGAGTGTTTTGGAAGAAAACCAAGGATGATGATCAGATTACTTCCTAATTATTTAATTGGTGGAAAACCATGGAAAGTCTGTCCATATCACCATGGACTGTAGAAGGAATCAGCATATGTGAGTGACAATTTTGTAGAAAGCCTTTTATTTGCTAACAGGATATACAAGCCTTCCAGGATAGGGTAAACAATTGAAATTCCCTTTTACAATTTGCATCCATTAGGTTTCACAATGGGACTTAATTCTCCACTAAAAACAAGGCAGCTACCTGAGACTCATTCTTCTGGGAGATATGGACAATGGTATTTGGAATTTTTAATAAGTGAAAGCAGACTAATGCTAAATAAAAGACTAAGAAGAGTTAGAGGGCTTTATCTTGTCATTATTGCTGAGGTCAGTATTTTTTAAACCAGTTTTCCTTGAAGCCCTGGGGTGTGACCAACCTAGAAGAGGCCAAGCGTGAGACTTTCTGAATTATCTTTTCCTACATCAGTCAGAGAATTGCAACTGCCATCTGTTTATAAAGTGGGTTCTCATCAAACACAATTTTTCTTACTTTTTGGGGTTGGGAAGCTCTCTACTACAAAAATAGATATTTAAAGTCAGTAATCGTCAATATATTTTAGCAATTGAGTAGTAAGAAGCTCCTGAATGGTATTGCGAGGGGAAAATCAGTTTTTAGTTTCTTAACCAAAGTGAGCATTTTCCAAGTTCCGTTTTTCTCTGCATTGATTTCTTAATGCAAATGGAGAAACAAAGAAAGCAGAAGTTGGGAGGACTGCTCACTTGAGAAATAAAGTCTCAAAATGGACTCAATGTCAAATTTGACTGAATTGATCATCTTTGGTCATCTCTTATAATTAGAGAAACAGTCTCCATTCATTCCTAGGAGATTAAGTCATGCATTTTTAAGTATGCATCATAACTACAAGAGGTTTATCCACCAGCCCATCACCAAAAATAAACCTAATCTATTCATCACCAGTAAAAGATCATAATTTCAGTGCAAAGAAGCCAGTATATGGAAATTACCCATATGTTGGGTTAAAGCGCACTAAATAGGTAGCATAAAAGAGGACATTTCAAAAACCTCATAGAAAAAGCAGAATTAAAAATACAGTTATTTTGGTACACAAAATTTGAAATGTATTCATTGTTTTTTCATAATATGCATTTTCCAGAAACTTTTTTTTGGAGATCCTCATACTAGTTGAATCAAATGAAATTTCTGATATTCATGTATTTTGACCCACAGTAATATCATTTGGTTCAAAAATACCCTATGGTTCAATATATCACAAGATTAAGACAAAGAAATTCCACCATAACAACCAAATCACACATGCACACGCAAAATGGAAAGTACACTAGCAAATGGGAGCATCATTTTACCTAAATTAAATCCAAGTTTACTTGCACTAGAACTGATGTCCAGTGATGAAAGCCATTCTCTGGTTACCAACTAACCTTTGTAATATGAACATGCTGTTTTTCTCTATAAAGAAAGCAAACCAGTTAACAAATGGCCAAATTACCTGGTAAGGAGCGATCAACATCAGGGTTGGAATCCCCAACAACAGCAACTTCAGTCATTCCAAAGGCCCCAGTCCTAGTAGGGGTCACTGGGATGAGGGTCCTATTTTCCTTTGTTTCTGGGTAGTGAGGAGTATAACCTTGCAGGGAAGTAGTTGAGTCAGCAGGGAGATTTTCACCTCTTCTTCCTCCTCTGCCATGAGTCCTATCTGTGTAGAGGTGGAGTCCATGATAAACCCACATTTCTAAGATCACCACCCACTGTGTGCTTGTCTTCAGAATGTGCAATTGCTGCGAAAATTTGCCATGTGTTACCCATGAGCAATGAGCCAAAGAGGGAATTTTGTCACACTATTGAACAAAATCAATATTTTGCAATACATGCCACCTGGACATCACTCAACAGAAGAGTCTAGTTAGTGATCTAATACCCAGATGAGGTATTCATTACAACATCTACCTGGGTTATTAAGGTAAGGCTTATGCTACTACAACTGTGACCTTGAAGGCAACTCAGGCACTAGATAATCTTGAGCTCTTTTTCCATTGGATCCACCTTTGATGAGGTAGAAGAAACACACCATTGGACTGAAAAGTAAAATGGCATTGCCTGCAATTGGAATAACAAGTGCAAAGTTTCAAAGACCTGAGTTTGTTAATTCAATTATTCTTTGCCAGAAAGGCACTGCTTCTTTGTCACCAGTACCATGGAGCTATGGTCCAGAGGACAAATGGCAAAATAATGTTATTAATGCAAGGAATACAGAGAGTGAGATAGTCAGACTTCTACACCAATTATAAATCATACATAAACAATCCATTATTTTAAAACCAAGGCGTCCACTAAAAAGCTTAGGAAACCCAATCTTTAAGATTAAGAACTAAGTTTGCGTTTAAAGTATAATGGCTTCTAAGAGGTCTATAAAGCAGAAAAATCAGAGAACCATAACCACACGCACCTATTGCTCAAAAGTAACAGCGTAACAGCAGTCAATGGACGCACCACCACCAAAGACACTGCAAAGCACCCATAATTTGTTGATTTTCATCAATTGCCCAAGCTAATTGGGCTTTTTCATCCTTACTTCTGGATGTCAGAGAAGTTGTTGGATGGTCTTTATCTTCTTCCAAGCCTCCATGTAATGTCGAGAAGCTCTGGAGAGGGCTCTGCTCTGTTTTGATGAGGGATGAATCCAGCATTAATTTAGAGCTATGATACATATCCTGTTGTCTGATAATGAGGAGGATCAAGCTATATCAGTGGCAAAGAGATAGTTGCATAGAAAAGCCATTATGGGTGCACATTCTCGCTGGATTGACATAAATATACAGAAGAATTCTATCTTGCCCCTAGTTGATCCCTTTGTTTCCCAATATAAGCAATGAAGGTTAAGAGCCAAGGTGAAGTTTGAGCCAGAACTTTGCCCACCCTGGTTCACCCTGGCCCAATTGTAGTATTGTTCCCAGTCGCTCAGGAAAACCAGAGAATACAGAGACCTAGAAAAAGGGAATGCTTGAGTCCCAGTGCTCCTATCAACAAGTACTTAACTGGGGGGCAAGCACTGCGGTGTAGCAGGTAAAGCCACCGCCTACAGTGCCGGCATCCCATATGGGTACAAGTTTGAGTCCTGCCTGCTCCACTTCCAATCTAACTGTCTGCTATGGCCTGTGAAAGCAGTAGAGGATGGCCCAAGGACTCGCTTGGGAGACCCAGAAGAAGCTCCTGGCTCCTGGCTTCGGACTGGTGCAGCTCCAGCCATTGTGGCCATCTGGGGAGTGAACCAGCGGATGGAAGACCTCTCTCTCTCTCTCTCTCTCTGCCTCTCCTTCTTTCTCTGTGTAACTCTGACTTTCAAGTAAATAAAAATCTTTAAAAAAAAAAAAAAGAGTACTTAACTGGGGCCAGCACTGTGGCATGGCAGGTAAAGCTGCCACCTGAAACACGGTATCCCATATGGGTGCCAATTCAAGTCCCAGCTGCTCCACTTCTGATCCAGATCCCTGCTAGTGGCCTGGGAAAAGCAGTGGAAGATTGACTAAGTGCTTGTACCCCTGACACACACATAGGAGACCTAGATCAAGCTCTTGGTCCCTGACTTTGGCCTGGTCTAGCCCTGGTCATTGTGGCCATCTGGGAAGTGAATGTGTGGATGGAAGATCTCTCTCTCTCTCTCTCTCTGTCTCTGTCTCTCTCTATCTCTCTCTGTGTGTGTGTCCCTCTCTCTGACTTTTAAATAAAAATAAATTAATTTAAAAAAGAGTACTTAACTGTGTGTCAAGAAGTGTGACATAAGGAAAATAAATACTCTGATAGCCCATAGTATACCTGTAACCCCACAAAAGAGACGTTTATCCAGTATAGCCTGCTCCAGTAACTCAGATCAAATTTATTTATTTATTTATTTATTTTGACAGGCAGAGTGGACAGTGAGAGAGAGAGACAGAGAGAAAGGTCTTCCTTTGCCGTTGGTTCACCCTCCAATGGCCGCCGTGGCCGGTGCGCTGCGGCCGGCGCACCGCGCTGATCCTATGGCAGGAGCCAGGTGCTTCTCCTGGTCTCCCATGCAGGTGCAGGGCCCAAGCACTTGGGCCATCCTCCACTGCACTCCCGGGCCATAGCAGAGAGCTGGCCTGGAAGAGGGGCAACCGGGACAGAATCTGGTGCCCCGACCAGGACTAGAACCCAGAGTGCCGGCGCCGCAGGCGGAGGATTAGCCTAGTGAGCCGTGGCACCGGCCACTCAGATCAAATTTATACAAGGAAATATTTAACTCTTTTCAGAAGACAATTAAAATAACCATTTTACTCTATTTGTAGGTGTTTTTTTTTTTTTTAATTTCATCTGTGGATGGGATTCCTATCATTGCATGAAGGAAACGCTTGCCTGGGCAAACACAAGGCTCCCAGTGACATTGATCAATTTGAAGTTGAACCATAGCCCATCTCCAAAATCACTTTGGCTGTTTTGAGTTCATTTCCCTTGTATTCTTCTAAGAAGGGTACTGACCTCTGAGTTGCAGGTGCAAGCAATCCATAAAGCAATCACTTAAGTCATGTCCACCACCAAATAAATAACATAACCAGGACAGAAACATTCACCAAATTCCAAACCCCAGCCTCAGTATAGAAGTCAACAGAGATAGAATAGAAACCTGAGTCCTTCATTGGCAGGGGCCATTCACAATTATTTGTATCTGCTTTTAAGCTTAATGCTGTGCTGTGTACATCACTGACAATCAACACATTTCACTTGCATAAGGGCTAATACAAAGGACTCTACTCGTGTGTAGCAAGCAGTGAAATGACATCTTCTTAATTTTGGATTTCATTCAAATTCTTCCAAGAAATTATGAGTGATTTTGGGCAAGTTGCTAGTATATCCATGTACATATGGTAGAAATTAAGGCTACTAGAAGTTTAACACTGCTCCCTTCTGGAAATTTAGCAATAGAGATGTTAGTAACAGTTCCTTTTTTGCTCCAAGGACCTTGCCACCTTAGTCAATTGTCAACAACATGACTTCTCTGTAGACTGATGGTATTTCCCTATTCTCTGTGATTATATGGCTCCAAAAATGTCTTTTTCACAACCATCAAAGCAATCCTATCCTTGTCCTGCCTTAAGTGGAGAGAAAAAAGGAAATAAAAAAGAGATGGCCAATTTAAACATAGAGAAACCATCATCTCACCTGTGCTCTTGAGTTTCACAGACATAACTACTTAGAGTAATCAAGTTGAATAGAGTCCCCTACTCCTTCTTCCCTTTCTGAAAAATCATAAAGTCATTGAATCTCGAAGGCACCAAGAATGAAGGTGAAATCAGGTTTAAGGAACACCACAAGAATACAGGCACTGAAGACGGATTTATACTCTGGGCTGAGCTGAGCCACATGGCAAGAAAGGCACCATTCCACCACCAAGCTTGGTCAGGAGTTCACACAGGAAGACAGGTCAATAAAGGGAGATGCCATCATTCTTACGAGTTGTCATTGAAAGAGGTCCCGTCCTGTCCAGGTCTTCCACCAAACCTGTGTTTGGATCTGAAGTGGGCTGAGGCATTGTACTGAGACTGGAGTCCATATCTGAAGGAATTAAATCAGTGTTATTACCTGATTTCCCAAAGCACTACCTGTGAGAGTGGTTTATAGCCCACAGCTGAATTATTTTTATAGTCCAACCTGGATAAGAGGAATGAAAGCATGCACTAGTTCAGGTCTTCACTGCTTTCTTCAAAACAGTGACAAGAGGTAACTGGCTTTCATCTAAGGTGCACTGTAGGAAAGCTATGATTTTTGTTTGTGTTTTTTCAATCTAGAAAAACCTTACATGAGCACATGATGAAACTCTCAAGCTTTGCCAAGAGACAGAAACATAGCTCTTCTCTGACTTGCTCCATTCCACACACATGGCCTTTCTTAAAGACATATGTAATGGGACACATGGAGAAAAGACAAGGTACACAGGTACACATGGACAATTTTGTCACTTCCCCCTTAAGACCTTTCGTGTTAATAAGGCTTAAGACCTTTTGTGTTAATAGCCTTTGTCTCTTTTAGTTTCTTTTCATGTCATAAAGTCAACATGCAAATAAAAACACAAAATCGTCATCCCATGCCACCCAGTTGGAGGCCCCAGGAAGTACATAGGGGCAAGAAATCATAAGCGGTTGATGCCACTGAATCATTCTTTCCACAAACACAACTATGAGGCATCTTTGGAATTTAACACAATGCTGAGTGGTGCAGAAATTTCACTGAAATATTTATAAATGTGCTTTTAATAGTTATCACAGCTCTAGTCTAGTGAAATAGAGGCCAGGCAACTCATAAACACCATCAATACTTCTGGCTCTCCAATTCAAAGTCCACCCACTCTACTCCCTCTGGGGATATTTAATCTGTTCCAAATGACCCCAGAAGATATTACTGGAATATGGGATGCCCACATCAGCATGACAGCTTGCACATGCTAAAAGAAGAGAGAAATGAGATCTTTGGAAGATAAAAATAACTGATTGTACTATCTGATTTCAAAAACGAAGAGAGGTAAGATCACCCAAATCAAAATCACAAATGAATATTCTCCCAGAGAGAATTCTACGTGTGGATGACATATTTGCTCATCTTCACATCTAGTGGAATTCTTACATCCTAGAGTTGAAGCCAATTGCATTGCCTTTGACATAGTCATTCATTTAGCAGACTCTCCTTCTCTTCATCAATGTGAAGATTTATTACTGATTCTAAAGCTCTTTTACTGACTTAGTTTTCTACCCTGGATGTCATTAGAGCTCCCAGTAGCCAGGTACATATACATGTGTACTGGGTCTGTGAGTGTCATTTCAGCCACTCAGTGTAATGTATCCTAACCTAGCCAGGCAAAGGCATCTACTTTTGTGGCAAACAGATCCACCCACTTAGACTTACTCATTGTTTGCCTTTTCTTCTCTCATGCCTTTCCTTATGCAAGTCTTCTTCCTAGAAAACCTTTCCCCACACTTGCTTTCTCTATCTATTCAGGTTTTTTTCCAAAACATTAGATTCAATCTACCTTTCTCTGATGCTCTTTGGAGAAGGGTGGGGGCCTCTGAATTTCTTTAGTATTTTTGTTGCCAACATTCACATCTGTTACTTACTGACTCAGTTTGTCAAGTATATTTGAATGCTAAATATTTTCATTTGCCAGTTAAATTTTAAGTTCTTTGAGAGCATGGGCCATGAATTGTACATCTCTGTGTTACCAAAATGCCTTGCATATTAGAAGAGAATTAATATATATTGTAGTTTAAGGTATATCACATCACTAGTATTTGGGTAGCACATAGTTCCAAAGAAATGAAACTGCAAATTTGTTGGATTCACTTTGGAGATGATTGTGAGGTTACTTAATACCCAGCGTTATGTGCTCTTGAAATTCATTTCAATAAGGATTGTGTTATACATATTTGACGATTTGGGTCTAAATAGCATATTCAGTTCCATGACTGAAAACTCCCATTCCCATATTGGTTAGAATGATTTATCTTCCTTTTGGGAATGTTACATTTTTGTGTAATACTTGCATTTTGCTAAAAATAAATAGAACTCAAGTGACTCTATTCATTGGTATGGTAAGGAACATGAATCATTCAACTTATTAAAGATTAAGAAAGGATGGCTACAACTTACTGCCAAATTTTGAAGATTATCTCAAGTAAGCTGTTGCCTATTTTCATAAAGGAAAATTCCTTTGAAACATAAAAATTGGTGAAATAAAATAAAAAAAACTTAATTCTTGCAAAACTATAACTGGTATCCTTTTTACTATCCTTTTTAAAAATTCTTCATAGAGAAATAGGATAGAATGATATTTAAGAAGACAGGAATTTCATCTTGTGTAAAACTTGTCCATCCATTAAATTCACATTTATTGAGGGCCAAGAGTGGTGTAAATCCTAAATCACTGGGTACTATCTCTAAATGTGTGAAGAGTAAATAATAATGTTTTCTGAGCCTCTGCATTACTTGTTTGGCATAATTACTCATCAAGTTTTGACCTCTCAGATTTCTCTACCAAAAGCAATGTATCAATGGAAATCAGCACTGAATCACTGCTTTGCTCTGTAGTCAGCAGTAAATTACAAAGATGTCTTGAGAATGCTGCTTTTTCCAAAGAAATGACTTTCACGCCTAGGAGCTAGGTCTAGTTCTTAATTCTCCTGTCAAATTCTTCACTTTCAGCCCAGCACTTCATATTCAGATGAATTTGCATATCACTTCTAGCAAGAGTAATTTTTGAGGAAACCAAGTTCCTTAGGAAAGTAGATTGATCTATTTCTAGGAAAATAGCAGATTTCAGAAACATAGTACATAAAATGCTCAGAGGTTATTACCCATGCTTCTCTCTGCTGGATGATCTTGTCCCATTGGATGTGAAACTGGGTCGAAGAAATCAGTCCAGGAACTGTCCCATTGACTCTCTGTTGTTGTTTTTGGACTGGGATGGCTGTTGTGGGCTGAGGCTGTTGTGGTCATGCAATTCAAGTAATTGTTAATTGACACGTGCCAGGAATACAATGAGTTTGTTTTTAATACTATATTCTTTAGACAATACAATGAAACTATATTTCTGATATAGAGGACACATGTTTTAGCAGGTTCGGGTTCATTCATGCTGATTTTTTTAGCAATCAGCATATGAACTAGAGGACATAAAGCATCAACCACCTCAGCGGTAGAAAGAGGATTAGCAATAGACATCAGGAGAAGATGATAGAAAAGGACTTCTAGAACAATGCCATGCTGTCACAGTTCCCTAAAGGAAGACTAAAGTATAAGAACCTGAGCATGTGATGTCTTCTCAGACAACCACATCCCAGTGAAATGCACACTAAGCTGGCAGTGATCTACAGCAGCAATCAGGTCACAGTCTCTCAAGAGACAAATATGAAAGCAAATGCCAAGCATCTCAAGAGCATGAATGGAATCCATTAGAAGCCATACCTTCTAACAGTGGAATTTATGGCATAAATGATATAAGAATGTAGCACGTGCCTTTGCTCCATTCTGAGCCAATGGAGAAGTAGACACAGAAAAGCTTGCAGAAGTATCCCCTTAGAAACGACCACCCCACATAGCCAGTCACAGGATCCAATGCTTCACCTGGAATTCATCTAGATGTCACTGTTTACTGGAAGGACATTATGTATTATATTCTATACTGCAAATAGGAAGATTACTCTGATACCAAGTAATAATGAGTAATTCACATTCTTTATAAGGTGGGGTACATTTCATCACTTAGGTCACAAGGACAAAAGAATCATACATAGGCACTTGTAGAACCAAGGTATCTGGCATTCCTTTGAGATGATGACAAGACTTGAGTTTAATTTCCACAAAACTGTAACTCAAAAATAGAGAAATTACCTTTTTTTTGTAAATGTGAGAAAAAATCTTGTACTATAAAAAAGAAATTACCAACCAGATATGACCTGAAGAACAAATGACATCAGACAGGTGTCATTTTTCTAATAATATCTGGCTACATTTCTTCCAACACTGAGGTTTTGAAAAAATCTTTCACCCAAGCCACATACTTCATCAAACCCTATTGTAAAACCTGCAGGAGATTCCTTTAGAAAACAAAAGGGTGTATTTTATAAACTAAGGTCTCTCCTACAAGTTCACTAAATATCTACAAAACTAGATCTGGAAATGACATACTCAAAGGTAGATTCCTACTGCTTCTTTCATGTCTTTATAGCTATTCCTGTTCAGATGGTTTGTTATAAGCATGTAAGTTTTGGCTCTCTTAATTGTGACATAAGTTATGAAGAATTCAACCATCTTGTGACAATTTCTTCAACGTCCTTTAGTTTAGTGTCTTTGTTACCCAGAATTTAACCCCAAAGGAAGTTTTTCCTCAAGTTTTCTTGTGAAACCATCCATTGCCCGATGGCCCTGCTATTGAATGAGAATATTCTCCTGGTATCTGGAGGTTCCCCCCATGCCATCTGTTCCCAAACCACTGTTCTTTCTGAGTAGCTGTTTCTTCAGTTGTGCTATTAAGTGTCACCCAGGCTGTGAGAAGAATGTCAGTTGTGAGCCATAATTGTCCAGTTTTTTTGCCAACAGCTGTTACATGCATTTCTATTTTAATGTAGTATGCACATAAGTACAGAAGGCAGGAAAAGAAGGCATCAAGAAGAGAAGCTATGGATACTCTGAAAGGGATGCTAGAAACCAGTGGTACAGTCCTTTACATTTTGAAATGGGAAACTGAGACCCAAAAAAGTTTTATCTGCTCAAAATCGAGTAGCCATATTAGCACAAAGTTAGCACTAGATAACAGCCTATGAGTTCCCGGTATTCATCTTATTTTGCTATATGCTATGGGCTCACCTGTGGGCTCTCAGAGAGAACCACTTGTTCAAAGAATAATCCCTTTGCTTGCTCTAGAGCCTTTGGGAGAAGAAATACTTTGAGTAACAACTTCCAAGGTCACTGTAGTATCAGGACTTATGAGGACTTTTCAAATGGATCACATAACCCTAATCTCACACACTGAAAAGGCAACAGCCATGGATTTGTCCAGCATGGAAACGGCTGAGATGACTGGGAGCTGCTCCCCTGACATGATGTTGTGATGTGTGAGTGGCATCTAAAATTGCTTCAGGGGATGGTAATGTTGCAACAGCAGATTAAGCCACTGCTTGGGACTCCCACAGCCCCTGTTCAAGGGCCAGTTCGAGTACTCGTCCCTCCACTTCTGATCCAAGTTCTGTATAATGTGCTTGGGAAGGCAGCAGATGATGCTCCAATTACTGGGTCCCTGCCACCCATGTGGGAGCCCAGGATGGAGTTCCAGGCTCCTGGCTTCAGTCTGGCCTATTTCTGATTGTTGGGACCATTTGTGGAATGAACCAGCAGGTGGAAGAGTTCTCTCTCTGCCTCTCCTCCTCTCCCTGTCTCTCTTTGTTTCTGCTTTTCAAATAAATAAATTTTTATTACTAAAATCACTTTTTACTAAAAATAATTCAATGGAAAAAACTGTTCTACACAGTTTTGGCACTATACAAATTACAGAAGGTGTACGCGAAGGCTTAAAATTTCAACCAAAAAATTAAATAAATAAATAAATAAAAGAAGAAGAAGAAGAAGAAGGGGACAAAATTCCATGAGAGCGTCTTTAGGAAAAGTCGTGGAAGCCCACTGAGACTTTCATCTATTGCAACTCACAGCAAATTTTTAGTTCACCAGGAAAGCAAAATACTATAAAATAATTTGTTAAGCCAAATTTTTGTGACTTGTAAAATTTATGTTATTTCATTATCTTTGAAAATGGCATGTTTGATATCAAAGATTTTTTTAAAAATAAAACTTATTGTCTTACCCTTTATCAGCCAAACTATTACTGGGGTTAATGATTATCCAGAGAGGGGAAAAATGCCAAAATTTTAAGTCTTATCTCCTAACAAAAAATGAAGTTAGAAAAAAATACTAAATGTGATTACAAAAAAACTCAGATTGCTGCATTACTCAAAGTTTTTTTAAAACGGAAACAAGAACTTCATGCCTGTGTACATGCACATATGCACACACAACTCAACATTCTTAATAAAACTTGACCCAGAAACTCCTTTTTATGTAAATAGAAATAGGTTAACAGAATATAGAATTTTCATTTTAAAACAAGAAGTCCTGATGTTCATTTGATAAAGCTTCGAGGTTACAATCAGAATCCCTTTAGGATCTGCAAGTATTGGTGAGAAAATTGCTGCAGTTGTCAAAATCCATTATGTCTGGATTCTCATGATCCCCAAGTAATGATGTTCTCCAAGCACCTTTTGAAAACAAGCTCATTAATTCCAAGTCTCTTAGGTAGCTCTTCACTTTTTAAGTGCAAGCTGTCTAAAATAATTTCTGGCAGGCGCTGTGGCTCACTATGCTAATCCTCTGCCTTGCGGTGCCGGCACACTGGGTTCTAGTCCCGGTTGGGGCGCCGGATTCTGTCCCGGTTGCCCCTCTTCCAGGCCAGCTCTCTGCTATGGCCCGGGAATGCAGTGGAGGATGGCCCAAGTCCTTGGGCCCTGCACCCGCATGGGAGACCAGGAGAAGCACCTGGCTCCTGCCTTTGGATCAGCGCGATGCGCCGGCCGCAGCGGCCACTGGAGGGTGAACCAACGGCAAAGGAAGACCTTTCTCTCTGTCTCTCTCACTGTCCACTCTGTCTGTTAAAAAAAATTATAATTTCTAAGATCCATTCTTGGACTGCTTCAGAATCTTTTCAAAGATGCTTCTGCTTAATCTCCATTTTCTTTTTCTAACAGCAGACTTCTTTCTTAATTCAGTCCACAATCTTTATGCAAATACTAGATCTACTGGGGTAAGCAACAGGATGCAAGGCCTGTTGGACATATTCAGCACAATGTTCAGGACTTATTAACCTACGTCCTCACTGATGCACTGGTGACTGAAGCTTTTATTTTGTGGCCTGAAGTCACCCCTCAAATTATGAATTTCTAAGCTCCTTCTGGCTTCTAAGTAGATGACTCCTACATTTTCCCCTTAGGCTGTGAGAAGGATGGTTAAACCACAGTTTTTAAAATGCTACAAGCTGTTATCCCAAATAAAAGCTTCTTTCATTCCAAACAAGATGGATACTCTCAGAAAGGACAGATGAGAAAGGAAAAATTGATACTTCTTACTCCCATCTCCCTGGTCCTATTCTCATAAATGAGAGGGTAAGACTTGAGATTGTTTTAGAAAACTTGAGATGTTTGTCCACAAAAGAAATAACAGTAAGAACATCAAAGCCATCCCCGAGGTACCCTGGGCTTAAAAATAGAAAAAGGACAGCTGTCAAATTCAAATATAGACCATACTAGCTATCAACTTTCCTCTAAGGACTATAAATGATGCTTTTCTCCAACAAGGTGAGAAATAGAATTCACCACAGATATTCACAGAAAATAGGGATTCCCAAGATCATTTCACTGGGCAAGATTTCCTTCCAGATCCTTCTACTAAGCACCAAAAGAACACACTTGTCCTCATGCATTTCCATAAACACATGCAAATCACCCACACAGGACCTCTCGGAATCTTTAATACAACTGTATCTCAGATCTGCCTTGTAAACATTTTGACCTTTTGGGCAACCTGACAAGTTAGCCTCTTTCTTCCAATTTCTCAATATTTGGCAGGTTTTCAGGCTCTGGGGATAAAAGAAACGATTGTGCAGATACGGAAGATGTAGTCAGTTACTGAACAGTCTTCCCTGTTCTGGAGAATGTCTCCACTAACTTGTCTGAACCAGAAGGGCTGACCACCAGCTTCTTACATGTGCTTGTAGAATGCTGAGTCTCCTCTTCATCATGATGCCCGGGATGAATGAGAGGAGGCTCTGGTTCCTGAGTCAGGCTTCGTCCTTGAGTACTGCTGCCACTTCTCTCTACATCTGTTGTGATGATGGTTAAAAATCACTGTGACTTTTTATCAACCAACCCTTAGTGATTGGGTCTTTCCATTAAAGAACATGCTATTAATAGTTGTATACCTAAAAATTACCTCTGAATGTCTACTCTCAATCATTTTGAGTGACTTCACTAACCTGCCTAGAGAGAAAAACCAATGGACATGGGATTTATTCATGACTGCTTGTTATTCCCTTGTAACCACTTTATCAAAGACAGCACCATTAACGGTTTGAGTGTATTCACTTTTATAATGAAGCAACATAAAATATATTGTGCCAAGATAGTATGATTGATAAATTATCCTAAACAGAATCGAATACCCTCATGAAAATTCATTAAGAAGTGTGATGAAACTAAATTTCCCATTGTGTCCCAAAGATCAGCTGTAGCAGCATCATTGGCTTTGAGTGGAGGGGAAAAAAAATCTTTAAATATGCATGACCCATTACCAGTCATCCTTGTAGTTGTCTGAAGCAGTACTTCTGGATTCAAATGGCTTGGGCTCCACTGTGTCCAGTCTCGATTCTGTTTTGTGTGGTCAGAAATCCGTGGTGTGATCAAAACTGTGGTAATGATTATTGAAGCAATTAGGAAAATGCTATTTCTTGAGCCTTCATCACTTGTTTTGCACATTTCTCCCTTCTGTGGTCTGCAAAGCGAGTCATCTATACCAGGCTGTATAGATGGGGGCGTGGGGATGGAAGGAAAGCAGAAAGGGCATTCAGCTCGATTCAGCCGTGTTGGTAAGCATCTCAGTGTCCTTTGCATTCTGTCACAGAATACCTTGCGGTTCAGAACGTGAGATCTGCTGGAGAGAGCAGCCAAAGAAGCTGCAGCAGCAAGAACAGTTTTGAGAACACCAGCCCCTCACCGAGGATAGGAAAGGACGTCAAGAGTTTTGCCTGTTTATGCGGTCTGTAGCAGCCGTCTGTGCTTGAAAGCTCAAGGGATGTGTTTCCCTGGCAAATGTGCTACCTGTAGATCCTCAGGTTGGAGAGCTAGATGACGGGAAGTTATATCATGATGATCATTTTATTTTGCTAGTAATTTTGGTTAGGAGAGAAACATCCTGAGCAGCCAGAGTTTTCTTGTAGATGTTTCTGAGAAAGAATATCTACCTAGAATAGCCATACGGGTTAGCTATACATTTCTGAATGTTTATCAAACAATATTGATATTCTTATCAAACATAAATGGATCATGAGCAATCCATTCATAGCCAATGGCAGGAAAACAAGATACATACATTCAGTAGAAAAAGGCCACAGGTAACCAACCACCATCATAGCAGCACACCGAAAAAAAAAAAAAAAAGGTACCAGTACCCTGATATTGTCACCCAAAACATGACAATAACACAGGACTGGAATAGGAGATGCACTTTACAGAAGGACCGTGACATAATCAGAATCAAATGCATCCTAGTTCTTTCAAACTTGATTTTGATATACAAATAAAAACATCCTGCTTTCAGAACTGTAATATTTCACAACATAAGAAGCGCAAGTTTAAATTACTAACTACATTCTTAATAAGCATTGAAAAGTACTAGCAATCATGTCTTTTCAGAAGAAAAAGGGCATTCTGTTGAATTACATTCATATGTGCTAAGCAGAGAAATGAAAATAGGCCAATATTAGACATGAAAACAAATAGCATGGCAGATTTTTCCCTGGTGCCTGTCCCTGCAACTTATTTGCAGGTTGATCTTTTTGGATTGATGCTCAAGGGAGTTTAGCTCCTCTAGTATCAAGAGCACATCTATCTCGCAGGGGCCACTTTCCAAGGCAGGCAACATCCTGAGCCTTAGATGCAGTAACAGTGAACCCTCACTGTTTTCTAGTTATTTGATTGTCATTCCAAAGTTGTTAAAATCAGTTTGCTTTTTCCAGAGACCAAGCTCCGCAGAGGTGTCCCAATTAAGAAATCCACTACTTTAAAGCTGGAAAATAAAAAACCTAGTTCATCTCATGTATTCATTGCATCAGGTCCATAAGGTCAGACTTCCAGCACTAAGCTATTTTTGGAACTCTCCATTCCTGGGTGCCATCCACTTGGGGATAAAACTGTCAGGTTCCAAAGGGATCAACAGGACTTGAGTGACCCAAGAGAGCTCATGGAACACCCCAAAGCCTTTTCTCTAAGGAAAAGCAGAGCTTTGATGGAGCCAGGTTCAGGCTTCTCTGCTCTGTTCAATGAAATCTTAGGTCATGACAGACATGTGAGGAAACAGTCATCTGGCAGCATATTAGTCCAACTTTGCACATTTTACAATTTTCAAGACATTTTCAGTTCAATTTTCATCTTAATGTTCTCAAAACATTTTATAATGATTACAAATTTGGATCCTTTATGCAGTGCCTTCCCTATTTGCCTGTAACTGGCACTGTCTTATTACAGCTGAGCTAACATTTGCCCTTCCCTTCACTGATACCCTGTCCATCTGTTAAATCTCCACTTAACTTAGAGACAAGTCCTGAGTTCCACTTCCCATCCTTTAAGCCTTTCTAGGGCTTTCTAAGTATTCAATTTAGGATCATCTGCAACTCATGAGTAATACCTTCCTAATTGCATTCTCCAGTTCTATTGCTCCAACAGATCATGAGCTCCATGAAAACAAAGGCTCTGGCTTTTTCCCATCACTGTGTTCTTAGCACCCAGCACAACAGGTACACAATGAGTATTTGTTATATACTTTAGTATGCCATTCTGTGACAAAGCTTGACAATTCAAAGAGACTTCCTGGGAGCAGACCTCACAGAAAAACAAAACAGGAAGACCACAAATCATTGGAGATTTTATGGAGATTTTTTTTTCCATTTTTTCTCCTAAAATGTTTTGGCTTCCATTCAAAAAATTCTATTTCCTCCTTGATAATTTCATCAACATATAACTAAGGTATAACCAAAGGTCCACTCATTTTTCACTTTAAATATTTCCCATCAAAGATACTATTGGACACCACGCAGATTAATCATTAGGCCTTGTAGCAATGGTTCTACTGTAATTGATTATTCTTACTGGTGCTGGAGATAAAATCTTCATCATCATCAATGCCTGATCCAGGAAAACTGAAGTGTTTGTCTCTTTCATCTTCATTTTCTTCATTTGGCTCCCAGCCTGCTGAGTTGGTATTTGAATCCGTACCTGTTGTGGTGACTTACGTTAGTGGTTGAGCTGGATGCCAAGCAACCCATTTGACAAAGGAAGAAAATCAGGCACAGAAGGTATAATGGATTTCCCAGTTTTAAGAAGAAAGTTTAAGAGAAAGTTGACTTATAGATCCCAAATTCTTATGCCCTGTTCTCTGAAGCTAATACGGACATCTCAAAACAATTGGCTGTGATCAAAAAACTGAACATGTATTTAAGAAGGCTAAAGGGATAAATATAGACATAACCATCCCTCTTCAAGAAATAAACGAACTGAAACAAAACAAAAAGGCCAATGGAACACCCCCATGCACTTTCAAATGAATTTACTATTAACTCAATCAGTATACGCCATTGAAACTAAGATGTCAATAACAGATGAAACTATTTCACCTCTATTTGCTTTGTTAGAACACTTGTAACAAAATCGTGGAATTTAAACATGTTAGTCACTCCTAAAACCCCAAGTCATGGTCACAATTTGCTGATTCTTTTGTCCTGATCTTCTGTAGCAACAAATCACTGTAGCTTCCATGGCAAATGGAAGATACATTGAAGTTCCTAACAACCATTTGGCATGGAGCAAGTTAGTCGGTTCACAGAGAAATCATGCCTCACATTCAGTAGATAAGTGTAGTCAAGATTTTGAGAATGCCTCACTTCATTTTGGATGCAATCACAGGAAAGGAGCTGGAAGACTGTTGCCTGTTCTCAGTAGTTACTCTACATGTCTCTTACTAAAAGGGTGTTTCTGCATATTGAATGGGATTCAGGCTATCTATGGGATGACTGCTTTTTTGTACTATTAGTGCCCTCCCCAAGAATAGTTTCATTGGTGCAGAGTGTATTGTGTCACATTTTAGTTATACTATTTTATTTTCACTTCAATAATTTTAGAATATCTATGAACACTCTTTCCTAGTCAAGATTTTGTTTTGTCATCAAGAAACATCTGCCCCCTTTTCACAGTCTCCAGATTAGCCTCCTCCTGGGCTATAATTCTAAATATTCTATAATATTTATTATATATTATTAAATTATATTAATATGAAATCAGCCACATTAAAATTAAGATGATCGCTACATCAAGTTCTATAATGTTAATTGTAGAGAAGAAATGAGAAGTTGCCGTATTAGTGCTCTAAAATCAAACACATAGACCTCATAGCTCATGATCCTTCTAAAGTCATCACAAAGACATGTGAGACCAGAATGAACTTCAGCCTTTAACAATATCCCACAGGTCAGTAAGAGTTATTTAAAACTGTCAAGAGAACAAATAAAATGAAATAATCATAATTCATTACCAGCCGCTTGTGGTGTTGTGTGAAGATGATTCTTAGACTCTGATGGTTCAAACCACCATGGAAGCCAATCCTGAACTTCTGGCTTCTTAGTTGTTGCTTCAAAAGTTGTACCTCTAGTACTCATCAAAGCTGTTGTAGCCGTGATTGAATTGATTGTTGAAAAATTAATTATCGGTTCCTGAGAAATAGTATTTTCTGTACTTTTACTCTATTCCCACTTGAAAGAATCATATATGCTGCATGTGGATGGTGGAAAGAAAGGACAAAAGCAAAGAAGTTCCATGTCCTGGGAGGCCCATTCACAAAACAGCAGAGATAGAAGGGCCTGGAATATCATTTGCCCCACGATCTTCATCTTTAAGATGAAGAAAGTATGCTGGCAGAGTCTGAAGTCAGAAGGCCGACCAGCCACGGGGAGGTCTCAAGGAGAGAAGGAGGGATCTTTGAGTTTGCAAGTCTAAAAGGTTAAAGAAAATCAATTTTTTTTTTGTCTCTGCTCCCATGAAGCCAAACTAGAATCTGTGGTGAGAATGTCAGAAAGATGGATACTCTCCCAAATATTGGGTTTAAAAAGCAATAATCTGAACTATGCAACAATGAGCTTATTCATGAAGTATTATTTTTGCCACCATCATAAAGATCACTTGGCAGAAAATTTGTGTATATGATTAATTGACTAGAAGTGTTGATTAAACTGGACCATTTAAGATCTCCAAATTTGAGAGCTAATGATTCTAAAACCCAGCTCTTTCAGAGTCCTAGCCCCTTGATATTCCGCATAATCTTTCTTGGCCCACCAATATCATTCTCCAATAATTTAGGATATGATATTTCTTCCAGCATTCACAGCAATCCCAATCTCAGAGAAGAACAACACCCAAATTAGAAGATGCTTTTCTACTTTTCTCCACTTGGGTCCAAATCCTTTAGCAACCTGGCCCATCGTCAGTTTTTATGTCAATACGACACTTTGCAAAGCATTTTGCATCTTGTTTTTTAGAAAATAGGATAATTAATCAGGAAAGACAGAGATTAAGTGACCCGATGATCCCATTAAAAAGGCCAGAAGCAAGAGTCTTGATTTGAAAGCTTCCTCCGACTGCTATTTCTGAAACCATGGATCAGAAGAATATTAGACAATAATAAACCAAAAACTTGAGAACAAGCCCAAGCAGAGGCTGAAAGTGTCATTGAATCCCCACATACCAAAGTAAGATGGGTTAGGTTTCTTTTTTTTCCGTTATAAAGAGAGCCCAGAATTGTCCCAAGATGAAACACTGCCCCAAAGATGTTTTCCTTCACACCCTTTTTCCTATGAAGATGAATATTATAAATATTTAAAAACTAGCATTTTCTTTATTCTACAACCTCTCCTCTCCCCAGCACACGCATAGCTTGATCTTAGTCTCTATGAGATGGCTATCATAACATCAACACTATTTTCCTTACATTGCTATTTGCGCAAACAAAGGATATAGTTTATCCAACATCTAATAAACTAAACAAAGGCAAGGGACTGTTTTCCCATTTTTATTATTCCCCTATACCAATACAATGGCTATTTATTTGAAAATACAGCCATATCCCACAGTGAAAGATAATAAATGAAGATATATGTGTAATCTCCCATTATACAGACTTTGAAACATCTCCACTCCCTCAAGCTCCAAATTAAAATACTTTGCAGGGATTTGGAGGTAATAGCCAAATACCTATGGAGCTTGTTAGAGTTCTGGACTCTGACGTGGAGTGAAAGGTCTTCTCCTGGGCTTCACAGTTTTTTAAATGTCTAAATCCCTAAATCAGCATTTCCCTCTATTTTATTATTATTAGTGTTGTTGTTGTTGATAGTGATAACTAGACTAGCAGAAAGTGGAAGTATGTGTTTTCTAATACTTATTCTTAGAGGACTTTTTTTCTGAATGAATCTCATAGTCAGAGCCTCTGAAGGAAACATAATTCAGATTCTACATACATGGTTCCAAAAAACAGCATTGAGGGCATTTAGGAGTGGTTAGTCAATTCCCAGATCCATAGGCCTCTCTGGTAGATAATAATAATGATGATCTTTCTCATTATTATTTATTAAAGGACAATGGATTCCCTTCTCCATAGTACTAACAGACCTAGCATTCAGAACAATTGATAAGCAAAAGACATAGCTGTTTACCTGAGGTTGCTGTTGTTGTGAGATCCTGAGTCTTAGGTTGTGAATTACCAAACCAGGACCATAGCCAGTTAGTTTGCTCCTGAGTTGCTGCATGGCTGTTTGAGTGCACAGTTGAAGTAACTGGATCAATTATGAAAATATAATTTAGTGAGATCCCCTCTAGAAAACCTTTACCCTCAGTTCCATCTATACATAATGTCAGTTTTGAATGAAGATTAGAAAAGCCAAGGCCAGTTTTATCTTTCCAGCCTCCTGAAGTCTCCCCCAAACCTTCCAAGAACCTCACAAATGCAAATTTCATAAAAACATCAATGCAATGCTACTCTTTCTGCAAACTGAACCCCTGAATTCAGCTCTGGGGATCCTTGCCTGTAATTTTCAGATCTGTTTAGCATCGTACCCTGGTAGCTTGTATTTCCAAACTCCATCCACACTCATTAACCTCAAGTTAAACTTTATACTTGAGAAAGAATTCGGCACAAGGGGTGTTCAACTTGTTGAAATCAGATAACCTATCAATCATTTTTTGTCACTTTTCATTCCAATCCAGTAGGTGTTTCTGGAAAAGGAAAAAAACTGTCAAACTAAGAACGACTTGGGAGTCTCCGGAATTAGAGGAGGAATAATCAGTGACATTGTCCAATTCTCAGCCCGTCCTTTCACTCTCAAGTTGGTCTTGAGTCCAGAATATTTTCCATAAGAACAATGACAAAAAGCATCAGGATAAGCCTCAAAGCCATTTGAGTTTTTAATGAATGAGATTTTAATGAATCGCTATAAGACACACACTCTTTTGAAAGTCTGATGCAGGGTATGGCCTCTCTCCACAAAATAAGTGACCCTACTTGTACACACTCAACGCTTGCCTGTTATTTCAGGTGGCTTTGAATATCTCATATAATTAAAAAAAAAAAAAAAGAAAGTTCATGAACCTCAGGTTAAAACTTTTGATTCTGTATACCCAAAGCCAACAATTGCTCCATTATGTTCTATACCATGAAGGATACATCAGTTCAGATCAGAGAGTAGAGATAGCTAAGCCAATTTCACCTGTAATGCCCCCGATAAATCTGAACATACCCCGGAAAATCCACAGAAACCCCATTCTCACCTGAGACACTTTATATTAGATGTATGGTCCCCACCACCTTCACTCTCAGGTACACAAGGAAAACAAGGCACAGCAGGAGAAAATCATCCAAGAGCAAGACAGAGTTCAGTGTTATTTTTTCTCTTCCCAAAAGGAGTTACATGACAGGGAAACATGGAAAAACTACTGCCTAGCAAACAGTTTCCAACTTTCCCCACCCAAGAAGGCCATGCCAAACCAAAAAAAAAAAAAAAAAAAAAATTCCTTTGACACCCAGAAGCCAAGGATATAGAGTGTTCCAAGGCAGAAGTCTCCTTCCTGAATTAGTTTTGGTTTCTTGATTCTGGAGAATTCCAGATCACCAATAGGAAGAGGCTGACGACCCTCCTGTGGGAGGGATCTTCCAAAAATAACACTTGCAATAAACAGTCTGCGGGAAGTCCAGGCCTACTCAGATGGAAAGTCAGCTCTTTCTAGCTTTCTCTATTGCCACCCACTAAGGATCCTTAAGAAGGAATGAGCCGGCAGGGCCAAGACGGGTTTCTCTGATGCACTCAGCCAGCCGGCCTCTTGACCTTGATCCCTGCACACATCAGGGAGATTGTGCACGCACTCCTCTCACTATGTCCCAACCTTCAGTCCAACTGAGATAACGTTTGGGGAATTTCCTCACTGGCCTTAGAAAATCTGATTCTACCCAGAAACTTATCAGTGTTTTTCCCAGAATGCTACACTCTGCATTCAGGTTTCCTCCTGGTTGGTGTCCTAAGTAACCTTCTTCATGTGACTCCATCTTCTTGGCGCTCCCACAGTAGTTCAATGACTCTCAGGTTAGCCTTCATCTCACTCTGGCAGACAAATTCATCTCTGTACTCCTTACCTAGTAAAATTGACAACTAAGTATTTTGGAAGGAGAAAAGCCACTTTTTTTTTCTTCTCAACCTAAACCCCAACTATGTTTTGGTTGCGTTCCACAGCAATCTGTTTCCTGGACTTTCGCACTAGTATATTGCATCCATGCAGGCGGGTCCAACTCTGAGCCCCAGAAAGTAGAGCAGGGGCCGGCACAAGGGCCTCCAACATTGGTTCAGTGAATAAGCACCTCCATAATTCCTACGTCCCTTCAGTGCAACTTCATCATTGTGGTTGCCACTCGATCCCAAGCATTAGAGCTGAACTGTTACCTAGGAGGTCCTCCAAAGATATCTAGTGACTAACTTGGGCAGAAAAGGTGCAGTCCTTGAGATGTGCCGTGGATGTTAATAAAATATGCCAAATGCCTTTTCTAAGACACATGGGAAATAATAAATAATGTTTTATGTAGGCTATTTGAGGCATGGATCTTAACTCTATCTTATCCCCACAAGCTGTACTTTATCAGGGTTTTCTTCTTTGGCAAGAAATGCTACCTTAGGGCAGACCTGTTCTGCTTCCTGCTGAGACCACTAACCACTGCACTTTCTAATACGTGACAAAACTGCACGCCCTAATGATAGGCACTTTGAACACGGTTACTTTCCAAAGGCAGGGAACCCAAGAAGGTACGAGTAGCCAGCAGCATTGCCTGCTCAATTTGCAGAAGCCTCTTTCAAAAAGAGTTGCCCATGGGACTACAAACAAAAAAGACAATGCCGTTTCCAGAGAACCAATGCCCCAGGGACTCATCGGCAGGTTGAGAAGATCTGCTTTCTGAAATGCTTTTAAGAATCTGCAAGGAATGACCAGAAGCCTCAATCCTGTTTGCACCACCCCCTCAGCAGAGTGCTAAAAGAAATTTAAACCACTGTCAAGCAAATAATCACAAATGAAATAAGAGTGCTGCGGAGGTTTCCCTGGCCTCTGGGTGACAAGGAAGAGAAAGTCAGTTGGGAGTTGGGAGTATTCGCAAGCCAGGAAGTTTCTGCCACCTTATTTGGAAGCCAGACTTCCACCCCTCTGGAGCCATAGCCAGGAAAAGAGAAAATCCACACCATACTAGGAAAACCACTCAAGATACAGATGCCTTTTTTGAATTTGAATAATCCTACACAGGAAGGAATGTAGCCAATCTGGAAGCCTATTTTAAAACAAAACATAGGGGGAAAGCGAAGGAGGCAAGAGGGAGACCTGAACGTTTTTTAGCAGGACTAGAGCTCAACGGGCTACACTGCAAAGCCATCTAATGCAGCACTGCCATCCGCCCAGGCGTGTGTTACTCAAACACGCCACGGAAACATCAGGAACCTCCCCCAACGGATGCTACACAGAACTCTTAAGCTCATTTCATGTGATCAGAAGATTCCTCCAGATACGTTTCCATAGACCAAAAGCAATAGGAATTATTTGGTAAATCAGGGTGGATGAACGTGCCAGAATAACACACAGTCATAAAAAGGAGCGAATGGAGTAGTGTGCATACCCCATGATTCCAATTTTATGAAAACAATCATATATTGGTGATCAAGAAAAAGAAGGAAATATGTAAAAATGAAAATGCTCTGTGGATCAGGTTTGAATCCCTACAATATTCCCTGGGGACGGGAGAATAAGGGGAGTGCATCTTCAAGAAATACTCTCAATATGACATTTCTGATCCCAAGTAAAACAGTGTAGAGGGAAAAAAAAATTGCAGGCAGACATAATCGATGCCCAGAGAGCACTGGCAACCACGGTAGCCCACCTTTTCCAATGATGTCACCTGTACCCAGATGTCTCGAGACAGGGGACAATCAACACAGCAGTGCATTTGACACAGGAAGATGGAAGATGTTTTGCCAAGGAACTGCTATTGGAAAGAACAGTGATTCATGCTCCTTACTGGTAGTTGGAGTACTGTCCGAGGGAATGTCGTCGTCAGAGGTTGGGTTTGTGGTGGGAAGGTGAGTGTGGAAGATGGTGTAGTCTCCGAAAGTGCTCCTTTCCCCGGGAGACCCACTGCTCACGTCGTCATCAGTAGAGTTGCTGGGATTGATGTCCTCAGGGTTTGTTCTGTACTCGCCTTTCTTGCTGTAGCGGGTGCCATCCCGGTTAACAATAGCTGGGAGAGACAGAAATCGCCTTCAGAGCTTTCATAGATGATGTTTTTGAATATAGGAAAGACTGTGGATTATGGTGGAGGAGAGTGACTTGGAAGTTTTCTTTTTTATTAAGAGAATCAGAGTCTACCTATCTGGTGGTGGGATACAGCAGCTGACGCACTAAGAAAATGCTTCCTTCCCCGGCTCCCACCTGCCCTGGAAACGGCCAGGAGAAAGTAGCTGTAGTGGGGAGTCCCAGGCCTGAATCCCAGCTTCACACCGCTCTAGCCAAGCTAACTCTGCAAGCTTCAGTCCCCTTATTTGCAAGGCAAGGATATGTGGATGTGTTTGACATGAACATTATGAGATACAATGCAAGCAAAATGCTCGGCACATTATGAATAACTAATAATATATCTTTTAGTATTGATAATAATTAAAATATATTATTAATAACTAATGACATATGAAAAATATAGTTGTTCAAATGAGAATTCTTTCACCTAGCTGCCTACTTTCCCCTCTGCAGTACATGTGTGATTTGTTGCTGCTAATTCCATGTACTCCAAATAGGATTTGAAGCCACAGACTAATAGTCTCAATAGGGAAGATACATTTGCAAAGCCATGAAGACTTTGATTTTTCTCTCCAAGGGGCAAATTTTGTCAAAGAGAACCTCTCTACTGCCAGCTAGGACTTCAATGTGTCTAAATATTGACTAGAGCGTTTTCCATCCTCTATGAAACCCAATCTTCAAATTAACAAGCGCGGATGTACATAAAGATCAAAATCTTTGGTTTTGCAACAAGCCAATGATTGGATTGGATCAGAAGAGAGAAAGAATGAATTCATTCACTGTTCCTCCCTGGAAGTATTTGCTGCCTTCAAGTCTGGGCCATATGCCACACAAATGTGCATTTAGTGGAAATTACTTTCTGTTGTGTTCACTGTTAAGTCTCAGGGTTCCTTTTGTCCACCTATTTTGCTTTCCCAAGTGCAGCAATTAATAGAGCACAGTGAAATAAAATCCAAAATCTCAATAATCTCTGCAGACAAAGAGCTGATGAGGAAATGTTATTGCCCACAAACTCACTCAGGTCTGGACTTTGGGAGAGATTTGTGGAGACCAATGAAACCAGAGAGGTTATTGATCATGTACTATAGACCAGGCATACATTAGATATACTTGGAGTTTCACAGCAATTGTCATACATTGTTCCACTGTGCAAATGAGAAAACTGAGGCTCAGAGAAAGTAAATGATTCCTCCAAGATAAGAAAGAACTAGAACTTATCAGGCCCAACTAAGACATAGGTCATATGACAACTATGACATTGGTCATAGGGTGGCCCATGGTGATGTGAAAGGTCCCTTCCAACTGGAAGGCCCAGGCCCAGGATGATTTCCTTACCTAACACTGGGAGGCTGCATTTTTACAGTGTACAAGGATTCTCATCCCCCTAGCACCACCATCACCATGCCCATGCACACTGTTGAGGCCTGGCTCAGACAAAGCACATTCAGACTTCTTCTTCACTGTGCTATTTCCACAGAAATGAGAGCCAAAAGCAGTAAGATCCGGGTTAATAAGCTGACCTATTTCAAAATTCCAGTTGAAGGGCGAGTGGTTTAGTGCAGCCATTAGTACATGACTTGGGGTGCCCACACCCCATATCAGAATGTCTGGGTTTGAGCCCCAGCTCTGCTGCCAGTTCTAGCTTCCTGTGATGCACACCCTAGGAGGTAGCAAGTGATGGCTCAGATGGCTGGGTCCCTGCCACCCACGTGGGAGACCTGGATTGACTTTCTCGCTCCTGGGTACTTGGAGAGTGAACCAGCAAATAGAAGTCTCCCACATCAGGGGCAGGGACCAAATGACTTGAATCATCTCCCCTGCCTTCCATCGTAGGCATTAGCAGGAAGCTGGAATTGGGAGTGAGGCTGAGACTTGAAGCTCAGGCACTCTGTATGAGATGCAGGCATCTCAACTCCTACGTCAAACACCCACTCAGTCCCCTGACACTTCTGCATCCTCTTCAATAAAAGGGAGTGTGGCCCGGGCACACAGCCTTCAGCAGCTAGGAATCAAGAACATTATGCAATTTTTCTTATATTTAAATGTACTTTTAAAATGGCCTTCTGTTTATTAAGAGAAATGTTGGTTTTTTGTCTGCAGTTTCTTTCTTTTTTAATAAAAAGATTTATTTTGTATTTGAAAGACAGAATTACAGAGAGGCAGAGGTGGAGATGGAGAGAGAGAAAAGTATTCCATCCACTGGTTCACTCCCCAGATGGCTGCAACAGCCAGAGCTGCACTGATCCAAAGCCAGGAGCTGGAAGCCAGGAGCCAGGTGCTTCTTCCAGGTCTCCCACACAGATGCAGGGGCCCAAGGACTTGGGCCATCTTTTACTGCTTTCCCAGGCCATGGCGGAGAACTGGATCAGAAATGGAGCTGCCAGGACTCAAACCGGCTCCCACATGGGATGTGGGCACTGCAGGCAGTGGCTTTACCCACTATGCCATGGCACCAGACCCAACAGTTTCTTTTTAAAGCTTAGTGTATTTTAAGTAGAAAAGAATGGCTCAATGAAAGCAGAAGTACCAAGTAAATGATAATACTGTGTAGGAAGGTAAGAGTGATTCTGAAATGTATCAAGTCTGAGAAAGAACACATTGAAGCAAAGCAGACAGTAGTTTCGAGCCACTGCCGGACTAGGGGAAAGAACACTGAATCTCAACCAATGTATTCTATTCGAATCTAAACCAGAGGGAACACACCGGATCCCTTTCCTAAGAAGGTGATCACAACATCAAGGTTAGAAGAGACACGTACTTATGGTAATTGGTCCGTCAAAGGCTTTGGGCAGGTCTGTGACTGCAGTACAATCTTCTTTGAGTGGAGCTGTGGAGTAGAAAAAAGAAAAAAGATCTTGAAAATCTTAAGCAAAATACGTGCCCCTCCCCAGTCAGTTAGGGTGGAGTTTTATTATAACTTATCCCAAATAATTTTATTGTTTTCCTGATATTTAATAAGTCTATTAGGAACTCCCCTGCCCTTTGTGATGGAGTTCTCTGTTTTGATTGAATTTCTGGAAACTTACTACTCCCACCCCCAACAAACGCATCAATTAAGAAATATACATGTTCCATATTTGGTGCTGTACAAGAGGTGCCAATATGAGCATGAATTAGGGAGCATTTGGTAGAGAAGATTTTTTAAAGTTCCTGCTATAAAAGTAATGGGGGAGCATCACTAACTTCTGTGAAAAATTAAGAAATGTACGAACTGTCTCAAGAAAATCATCTGAAGTCCCAGAAACCTCCAGAAATGATGGGAAAACATGGCATATACATATGAACAAATGCTTACCAGTGTAAACAGCATGACAACCCACAGGTTAAAATGGGACAATCCACAAAGAACGCAATTGATCAAAGCATTTGAAAACAAATGACTCTCTAGTCTCTCATCAAGGCATCCATTTATTTAATAATTGATCTCCCTAAGTGTCTACTCCACAAAGATGTCTCCTGGACACCTGTGGCCTAGGTGCCCAGAATATTTCCAAAGACCCATCATGGGCATCTCTTTCTCATTTGTCCATTTATCTTCTCCTCCCTTACCTCTTTCTTCAGGAATGAAGATTTCTGCCTGTGCCTCGGGCCTGCCTGATCACCCACAAGTGCCACTGGTGGCCCTATGAGTGGCTCTGGGAGAAGCCGTCTGACAACTGGCCCTGAAAGTTCACTCTGTGTGCCACCTGAAGGGTCTGGCAGACTGCAGAGAGGATGGCCTCGCTACCCATCCAGGTCAGAGTGCTCACTCAGTTACCAGACTCTGTGCTGAGAGTCCAAAACAGAGACAACTTGAAGGTGGTCTGGATATTTTAGGAAGGTTGGATCCACCCATGCATTAATGCTTTAATACTGTGTGTATTTGCTTAAATGTAAAACAGAAACTTAGGGGGCTGTCACTGTGACATAGAAGGTTAAGCTGCCACCTGCAGTGCTGGCTTCCCATATGGCACCAGTTTGAGTCTCAGCTGCTCCACTTGCAATCCAGATCCCTGCTATGTGCCTGGGAAAGCAGCAGAAGATGGCCCCCAAGTGGTTGGGTCCCTGCCACCCACGTGGGAGACCCAGAAGAAGCTCCTGGCTCCTGGATTTGGCCCGGCCCAGTCCCGGCCATTGCGGCCAATTGGGGAGTGAACAACAAATGGAAGATTCTCTCTCTTTCCCTCTCTCTGTATTTCAAATAAATAAATAAATATATTTTTTAAGAAATATAAACCTATTTGTTAGATTGGTTTTTACAGAGTTGTTTCCTGACAGAAGAAGGAAGAAGGGAGGAGGGATGAATGATGGATTGATGGATGGATGGATGATGGATGGATGGTGGATGAATTGACAGATGGCTGGAAGGATAGAGGCAGGCAGATTATTATCACAAAGAAGGCTGCTACAAGTGTTTTAAGTGTCCTACTATAAATTGTTAGATGCTCACAACAATGAACAAAAATACAATTTGAACAAAAGAGGTTTTGGTTGCTTCCCGGTAACTGGGAACACTTCCTAAAGACAAAGAAGGTGTCCTTTGCCTGATATTTCTTTGGCCTCATAGTGAAAGTAACTGGCAGCTTTACTCACTCAACTGGGAAAAAAGCAGGCTTGAGGAAAAGGCATTCTTGCAAATCCTGATCTAAAAGATTTCTCAGAAGGAGTCTTGTCTAATAGAAAGTCACCTCCTGGGGCCAGCGCTGCGGCACAGCAGGTTAAAGCCCTGGCCTGAAGTGCTGGCATCCCATATGGGCACTGGTTCAAGTCCTGGCTGCTCCTCTTCTGATCCAGGTCTCTGCTATGGCCCGGGAAAGCAGTAGAAGATGGCCCAAGTCCTTGGGCCCCTGCATCTGTGTGGGAGACCTGGAAGAAGTGCCTGGCTCCTGGCTTCTGGCTCCTGGCTTTGGATCAGTGCAGCTCTGGCTACTGTAGCCATCTGGGAAGTGAACCAGTGGATGGAAGACCTCTCTCTCTATCTCTGTCTCTACCTCTCTCTGTAACTCTCTTAAAATAAATCTTAAAAACAAAAAGAAAGTCACCTCCTTGGTGAGGCCATTCTTCACCATCTGATTTTCGTTATTGCCCTCCACACCTGTCACCATCACGTCTTCTTGTTCTCAATTTGTCTCTTCTACCACTATCTTGAATGATCTTGTCCATTTCACCTCTCAATGGCCAACTCCTGGAACTCAGCCCCCTCCATAGAAACACATAAGCTCCCCAAGATGATCTGTCAGCTTATCTGTCTTGGCCAGATCATTTATGTGCAATGGGGCTAGAGAAGCATTTACTAAATATGTGTCAGACGAATTAAAAAGGAAAAAAGGACCAATATCATTTCCCAAGGGTCCATTCTTCCAGTAATATTAACCCCCAAATGGTCTGCGGATATAAACAGCTCATGTAGCATTTAGATAAAGCCTTAAGAAGTAACCAAAGGAAGTAACACACAGAGCTGTGCATTTCTTAAAGCATTTACTGCATACTTACATGACAGACCATGGAAGAAAAGGGACAGAACATGTTTCTGTCCCTGCCTCTGAGGGATTCTCAAGTTCGGGGGGCAGGGCAATCGTAATTACAACTTCTTTGGCTTTTTACAACTTTCAAAAAAATTTCCTCCAAATACCGAGTTTCTGTATTTCATTATGAAATAAGAGCATAGAGCCAACCTGGGAGATTTGGGGGAGGTCCCATTGTGGGTGTCTTAGGGATTTTACTGGAGATCGGCCTAACCTAGGAGATGCTTCTGATGTTGGGACACTACCCATTGCCAAAAACAGGCCTGGAAGTACGGCTGGAAATGGAAAAATCTCTCCAAAATTGATGCCAGGACTGGGATCATGGCTGGGGATGGAACATCTCTCCAAAATCGATGGCAGTTATGGAATAGTCTCCCCCAAATGCAAATACGAGTGCAGGTGACAGTACAGCATCGGGGGTTGCCAGGAGGCAGGTTGAATACAGAAAGGGACGTGTCAGAAACAGGAGGAGAGGTTGTGAATGAGGAGAGCGGTTGTTCATGTAGACTCCCTTCACGCCCCATTTCACCTAAACTTCCACAAAGAACGTCAAGTGTGGCAGGGCCACTAACATGGACAGTGACCCAAATGTGCAACTAACTTATTCATGCTCCCATGTCAGAGCGGGGGCTTCGGTAGACTGCCTTTCATTCTGGTTAATGAGATGGCAATGCTGGGAGAGCCAGCCTGGCAGGGATCCTGGAGCCTGAAGTTAGTTAGAAAGACTCCAAGTGGGGCTTCCTGCTGGGCCACATTTTCAGAAACCTTGGCTTCCCTGCACAATAGTCAAGAGAAATGCTCATTGTTCAGTCCAGCAACTAATCGTGAGGCACCCCATGCAAAGGCACCTTCTGCAAGACTTGATGCATCCTTGGTACCCTGTAAGCATTCCCAAATAAATGAAAGAATGGATAAACAAATAAATGGAGGACCTACTTGGTAAGGCTACCTTCTCAAGAGAACGAGGCATTCTACTGAAAGCAAGCATTTTAAAGGAACTAATTCGAGTCAGTTTTTCATGCTGTTCATTCAGAAGTCACCAAGCTCTTGTTGGGCCTTAACCATGGAGAGATGAGGGAATAAGAAACACAAAGTCTTTTCATGATCTGCCTTATTATTTCTTTTCAAGCCACAGGCTGTGCTTTCCAAAAGTACCCCTAACATTTAAGGTTACAATCTGACTGGCTTTGATCCCCGTAATCAGTTCACAGGCAGATGGTGCCACTGGGGAGTGAACACCTGCTTCCAGGTCTCTAAGTTCAGGTTCAGGGCCTCCCCAACAGATGGTTTGCATGGACCAGCAGCTCATCAGGGTCTTTTTCTCACTTAATGCCCTGTCACATGACTCTATACCAAGACATTGTGAATTTATTTAACCTCATACTTTTAATCCTTTCTCTACTGTCAGTATTTTTCATCTCATTGCTTCAACAACGTTGTTAACTTCTTTAAGACAAGAAATCCAACTCTGGTTCTTACTTATACTCTGCCTAGCACATTACTGAGCACATAGAGTCAATCAATACATTTCTCTTTAAACTAATATATATATATATATACACACACACACAAACATATGTGTGTGTGTGTATACATATAAAAAGTAGCCCATCAACCCTGATTCAACTTGTTTGGTTAAAAGAATGTGCAGATTTTATATTCCACTACCGTAGGTAAGATCTGTTTGCATCATGCAGTTAATCCCTAAGTCACTCTCCGGCTCTAACACCTCCTCCCTTCTTCAGGAACAGCTGAGTCTAGGAAGATGGGCCAGGGTTGCCTTAAGGCCCCATCTGCCCCTCCATGGGGAGGGAAAGAGAAGGCTCAGTTTGAGAAACAAGAATTTAGATTGTCGGCATTCAAAAATTTGACAGGTATGGTTTTGATCTTTATCTAAAGACCCTGAAGATGCATGATGCAAAGAATTCTTTAATTTTTCTGGGGGCTGAGTTAGACTTGTAAGCATGAGTTTCCAGATTAACTGTTAGAAGCAAATCTCAGGGACGAGGAAGAAGCCTAGCCGGCAGCCCAGCATCTACATCTTACTTAACATAGCTTCTTCCTTTTTTTTTTTATTTGACAGGTAGAGTTATAGACAGTGAAAAAGAGAGAGAGAGAGAGAGAGAGAGAGAGAGAGAGAGAAAGGTCTTCTTCCATTGGTTCACCCCCCCCCCCCCCCCCCGCAAATGGCCGCTACAGCCGGAGCTACACCGATCCAAAGCCAGGAGCCAGTTGCCTCTTCCTGGTCTCCCATGTGGGTTCAGGGGCCCAAGCACTTGGGCCATCCTCCACTGCCCTTCCAGGCCACAGCAGAGAGCTGTACTGAAAGAGGAGCATCTGGGACTTGAACCCGGTGCCCATATAGGACGCCGGCGCCGCAGGCAGAGGACTAACAAAGTGAGCCATGGCACCGGCCCCAGCATAGCTTCTTTTTTTAAAAAAGATTTATTTATTTGAAAGGTAGAGAGAGAGAGAGAGATGCCTTCCATCCATGCCTTCCATCCCCTGGTTCATTCCCTAAATGGCTGCAATAGCCAGAGCTGGGCCAATCTGAAATCAGAAGCCAGGAGCTTCTGTCAGGTCTCCAACATGGGTGCAGGGGCCCACGGACTTGGGCTATCCTCCATTGCTTTCCTAGGCATATTAGCAGGAAGCTGGATAGGAAGTGGAGCAGCCAGAACTTGAACCGGTGCCCATAAGGGATGCCAACACTGCAGGTGGTGGCTTTACCGGCTGGACCCCTTAGCTTGGCTTTTTATTCTCTAGTTTTCTCATTGGCTGGATAGGGGACCTTCAAGAGGATAAAGGGCCTATTGCATATCCCCTCATCCTTCCCTCCACCTTCCAAATTTAATAAATATTCTTAGCAAAGCCAGTTGGCCTCTACCCTAAACTTCTCCTTAGATTCACATCACTGCCTATTCAAAACCTGTAGTGACTTCGCCTCACACTAACAATGAGTCGGCCTCCATGAGGACTGTGGAAGAGGCCAAGATGCTCTCGTGTTCCTGGCCTTGCACTGGCTCCTCACTCTGCCCGGGGCTTCTCTCCCTCACTGTGATCAGGGCTCCCCTGAATGCCCCTCCTCAGAGTCTCTTTCCCTGGCCACGCTCTCAGAAAAACAGCTTCCCCAGGTCTCTTTCCCTCAATGTTCGTCATGCTTTTTGGTAGTTCTTACATCATGCTATTGACTTTATATGAGGTTTCTCGAAGTTGTTTGTTTATTGTTTCCATCCCCAACCATGGAGACAGGGACCTCGCCTCTGCTGCAGAAATACTCAGTGAGCATCTGTTAAAATGAACGGAAGCTACATGAATCCCTACTAGAGCCGAGATCAAACTGCTGCCAAAGGCTTGCATTGCAAGAGCAGCAAAGAGACAGCCCGCCAGGACCCACCTGAGGCATTGAAGCAGTACGTGTCGTACTGGGAGGTGTTGGAGGTGAGGATGTACACCCCTGTGTTGTTTGCCGCACAGATGGAGTTGGGGTGGATCCGGGGGATCACCACGTGCCCCTCAATGAACCCATACCTGCCAAAGAAACACAAGAGGCTTCCCATCACACTGAGAACCGACTTATAAAAAGTGATCTAATTGAAATATCTAAATAGAATGTTTTAACTTAAAGATTTTTTTAAAAGATTTTATGTATTTGTTTGAAAAGCAGAGTTACAGAGAGAGGGAAAAACAGAGAGAAAGGCCTTCCATCTGCTGGTTCACTCCCCAGATGGCCACAACGGCTGGAGCTGGGCCAATCTGAAGCCAGGAGTCAGGAGCTTCTTCCAGATCTCCCACGTGGGTGCAGGGGCCCAAGGATTTGGGCCATCCTCTACTGCTTTCCCAGGCCATAGTGGAGAGCTTCATTGGAAGAGTAGCCAATTGGGACACAAACTGGCACCCTCATGGGATGCTGCTATCGAGGCTGAGCCTACTATGCCACAGCACCGGCCTCAAATAGATTACTGATGAAAGAAAAACTTTCTTTCAAATAGAACTTATGGTCAGACACGTGGAGTTTCTTTGAACAAGCAGAAGGTAGTGTGAGTTACAGAAGATGGAAGTTAGGATGGCAGATTCACTCCGGCTGCTGCTGTCTTCCTAGAGAGCGCAAAGAAAGACTGGTTCCCATAAAAGAAGAGGGGCTCTTTATCTCAGCCCACACATTTCAGACCCGCCTGCTTTCCATCCACTCCTCTTCCTTCCTGGATTGGCTTTTTCCGGTGAGTCCTCTACTCCACACTCTTTTATTCTAAACATGAAGCCTTGCTCCTATGATGAGCACAGGGTGCAGTTTATCACATGAGCAACCCAGGCGTAATTCTATTGCCAGTGACCATCATTCACATGGGAGTCATACCAACCAAGCAAGGAGAAAGCAATGGCTCATTTGGTTTAGGAACTTTCCAGAAGCAGCACAGAATAACCCTAAGCCGCTCTCCCCACACCAAGGTACCACTTGAGGGCATGTCACAGGTAGAGGCCCTTTCAGATGCAACATACAGAGACTGAACTCTCTAGCAGGATCCTGGTGTCTACATACTCACTTATTACACATTTCATGCCTCCATAAATGAGACGTGGGCTGAAAAAAATACCATTTACAATGGAAGAGGTGGTGAGCTGGAAGTTTCCAGGCACACAGAACTCATCACATTTATGTCGCAATGGTAGCATGCATGACTAATTCCTCATCTGTATGGACAGACTGGTTTCCCCAGAGTCTCCTTAGTGTGGTGGGGGCAGGGACACAATTAAACGTGAACAAGTTTTCATAAGTCAGAGAATTGCACCTAATTAAGGTGAGGCAGACAAAAAAAAAAGGAGCTATTGAGGCTCTGTCCCTGTTACGAGATTCTGCTGTATGTCCTGTGGCAGATTTATGAGTCCTAGCTACCTGAGGGAGATTATGGAAATGAATTTTGCAACACTTGATACAAGCAATGGGTGAAATGTTAGATTTTTTTGGCATAATTTTTCCTTCCTTTTTTTCCCTCAAGAATACTCCTTGGTGAACCTCTCACAAGATGTGAACAGGTATATATGACACCAACATTCTAGAGTCAAAAACATTCCCTTTGCGAGTTGTTGCTGAATATCCACCCCATCACGCTGCCTCTCTGTTTGGTGTGTTGCACTATAGATGAGTTGGAGAGATCAAGGTGTCCATGTGGTGTATGGCATGTGACTGTTCACAGGGAGGAAATTCACATTCAGCTCTGCCCTCTGCCCCTCAGCCCTGCGGGAGGACTTGGTCATCAAAATCTTGTCCTGGGCTCAGACGAAGCAGGACTGGGTCCCAGCTCCTCTGTTGAACTTGTGTGGCCCAGGCTGAGTTCCAGAACTTCTCTAAGCCTCAGTGACTTTATCTGCAAAGTGGGATAATAGCAACTCTTCAAAAAGTTTAAGGCTTAAGGGAGGGGATGTGGCCAAGAAGCCAGCAGGGCTTTCAGCTTCAAAGTGTTTGATGATTGGCCACTGGCAATATTAAGAGTTCCCTTTGTTCTCAGAGAAAATGTGTTGTGCAAGTATGCCTTGTCTGTGTTCCACAACCAAAAGCCAATCTACTAAATCCACTTTGTTAGCCTAGTGGCCCAGTCAGGGCCATATTTAACCAATTAGACTCGGGAACAGAATAAATGGGCTTGCTAATTGGCCTTCCTTCTGCAGTCTACGGCTCCTGTAGCTACCATAGGGATCTCCCTTTCTCTGCTCCTTTTATATTTTCCCCACCCCACTCTGAACACACACAGATGTTTTTATGGTTAGAGGGTGCTGTCCACAGACCATTCTTTGATGATGGAACTTTCCCACAATCTGTGTCATCCCAGAGAGTAGTCCTTGGCCATTTGTGGCTAATTGAACATTTGAAATGAAGTACTAAAGTCTTAATATTATTTAACTCTGGTTAATTTAGACATAAGTCACCACATGTGGGTACTGGCTACCATATTAGTGCAATTTAGGCTAAGGATGATTCTTTTCTCTTTCAGCAAAAGTCACAGCCCCTGCTTGTAATGTGGGTGCATGCCTCTGTAACCAAAGGAGGACAGAGATGCATTGAACTTGCACTTGATGGCTTCCATAAAGGGAGCTGCAGCCTGGCTTCTCAAGAACCATCTCTGGGAGCCGGCGCTGTGGTGTAGCAGGTTAAGCTGCTGTCTGTGATGCCAGCATCCCCTGTGAGTGCCAATTCAACTCCCAGCAGCTCCACTTCTGATCCAGCTCCTTAGTATTGGCCTGGGAAAGCAGTGGGGGATGGCCCAAGTGCTTGGTCCCCTGCACCTGCCTGGAGATCCAGAAGAAGCTGCTGGCTCCTGGTTGAGCTTTGCCTAGCTCTGGCCATTGTGACCATTTTGGGGAGTGAACCAGTAGATGAAAGATCTCTGTCTCTCTCTGTCTCTCTGTCTCTCTCTCTCTCTCCTGCTATAACTCTTTCAAATAAATAAATAAACAAATCTTAAAAAAAAAGAACTACCTGCGGGTACACGTACATTTGTGTGTTAAAGAGAAAAGGGAAGTGTGTTACCCAAGACATTGCAAAAGCAGAGTGCCTGACAGCTGCAGGCTGCAGTGGAAACTTCTGAGCAGTTGTTGAGATTACCCAGGCTTCCTTTAGTAAAAACAAACCAAACCAAACACTTCACCCTGGCTGTCACCACTGTTTGCTCTTTGTGTGCACACTGGCCACATAGCCTTTAGAAATTCAAAAAATAAAAAAAAAAAAAAAATAAGTCCCTTGCCTGTGGTGATTATCCTGGGGCAAGATGGTTTGGGAAAGGCTTTCTGGGGTGCTGAGATGGCTGTGAGCCCTGTGAGGGCTCCTAATAATAATAAATCTTTGTATAATATGTCCTACTAACTTCCATGTCCTTTTATTTACCTTCTCAAACCAAAGCAACATAGAAGAGAAACCAAAAGAAAAAGAGTTGTTTGAGAAATATGCTTTGAGCCACATCTTGCAGGGTCAAGACTCAACCAGCCACATACTCGTTCTAAACACTCTGATCTGGCTCATGTTTTCCTGTGGTTCTGATAATGACACTGCATGCTCTTCAAAGCCAGGAGATCTGTGGAAGCATATTAGGCAAGTAGATGTCAACCCTTACGACCCTTACTGGTTCCCTCTGGACTCCCCATGTATGATTCACAAAGGTGTCTTAAGCCGACTTTAAATTCCAGTGGCCATACCGGTTCCAGATTGATGTGTCCAAATTAATAGGTGGGGCCCACATCTTGAGGCAATAATCCATTCAGCTGTCAGGGAGGAGATCTGCAGTTCTAAGCCTCACCCACCCTGCACCCAGGCTTCCCCCAGTAGGGGAGCAGGTGATGGTGTCTTACCTGCAGGTCTCAAACCCCTGGTCCAGGGCCTTCTGCATCTGAGCCATGGTGGGCAGGCTGCTGTTGAAAGCCTTGCAGAGGTCAGCTGCCTCCGTCCGAGAGATGCTATAGCGACCATTTTTCTCCACGTGGAATACACCTGCATAGCGGCAGGTGATATTCAAATCTGTAGATGAAACAGAAATGTTAGATTCATTTGCATAATCAATTTGCATAAAAATAGATGGATGGTGAGGAGTTCATTCTAAGGTAGAGTCTTTTAAAAGCCAAATAGGCTACTCTGCCTGCCAGAGCCTTCAAAATTCACTCCAGCTTTGCAAAGCCCAATTATTACATAAAGCTAAAATCTGAAGTAAGACATAGGAAAAAACCATCACTCCTACATTCTCTCCCAGGGTTGTCATTCAGTAAGGTTGATTACAAACCATGGATCAAAAACTCATGGAAAACTTGCAACATGCAGGGATGAAGAAAAACGTCCACTGCTAAAAAAAAAACTGCAGAAAATATTTCTGCAGTACCTTTTACCAGTTCGTTTACTGAATACACACTCCTGTATATAACATATGCACACACATATAATATATACATACATATGCATATCCATATGCTTACATAGTTGAAATAGTACTGTTGAAATAGTTTAGTACATAGTTGAAATAGTTTATATTTAGTTTGAAATAGTACATAGTTGAAATAATTTAGATTTGGGAATCTTTTTCTATTTTTTTTTTAAATTTTTTTAAATTTTTTAATTTTTTAATTTTTTTAACTTTTATTTAATGAATATAAATTTCCAAAGTACAGAATATTGATTACAATGGCTTCCCCCCCATAACGTCCCTCCAACCCGCAACCCTCCCCTTATCCACTCCCTCTCCCCTTCCATTCATATCAAGATTCATTTTCGATTCTCTTTATATACAGAAGATCAGTTTAGCATATATTAAGTAAAGATTTCAACAGTTTGCTCCCACACAGAAACATAAAGTGAAAAATACTGTTTGAGTACTAGTTATAGCATTAAATCTCAATGTACAGCACACTAAGGACAAAAATCCTACATGAGGAGTAAGTGCACAGTGACTCCTGTTGTTGACTTAACAAATTGACACTCTTGTTTATGGCATCAGTAATCACCCTAGGCTCTTGTCATGAGCTGCCAAGGCTATGGAAGCCCTCTGAGTTCACTGACTCTGATCATTTTTAGACAAGGCCATGGTCAAAGTGGAAGTTCTCTCCTCCCTTCAGAGAAAGGTACCTCCTTCTTTGATGACCCATTCTTTCCACTGGGATCTCACTTGTGCTCACTTGTGGAGATCTTTCATTTAGGTTCCCCCCCCGCCCCAGAGTGTCTTGGCTTTCCATGCCTGAAATACTCTCATGGGCATTTCAGCCGGATCCGCATGCCTTAAGGGCTGATTATGAGGCCAGAGTGCTGTTAGGACATTTGCCATTCTATGGGTCTGCTGTGTTTGAGTATCTTCCCATGGCAAAATGATGTCACTCCCTGGCTTATAGCTTCCAATGGCTTCTGGTTGCACCCAGAATAACTTTCCTTATCATGATGAAGATCCTATGATTTGGCTCCGTCTCCCTCTCTTACTCTCATGAAGGCTGCCTTGCTCTATTCACAAAGCTTTCCTTCCATTGCCTCAGGGACCTGGAGTTCCTTCCCATCTTAGAACACTTGTGTCCATCTTTTGCTCTGTCTGAAATGTTCTATCCTGGGACAGTCACATGTGTGGCTCATTGTTGTCACTCAGAATTTCAACATCACCTTCTCTCCCCTTATAGACTTTTTCCCTGGACACTTTATCTAGCCTCCAGTCTCTCTCCCACCACACCTGGCTTTTGCATCTTCCCAACTTACTCATCGATGTGTACACTCATCACTAACTGTCTCTCCTACCTGGAATGCAAGCTCCAAGAAAGCAAGGGCCTTTTACTTCCTCATTTCTGTATCTCTCAACTCCCCCAACAGTTCCTATCAGAGAGTAGAGGCTTAACAAAATCACTGAACCAACGAATGTGTCACTGAACTTTCCTCAGAAACACACTTTTAATATATTGGCAGATCCATCCAGGACCTGCTATTTGCCCCCAGGAGTTTCATTGAAGATGAAGCCCAAGTGTTATCAGTTGGGTAAAGAATGATTTAATACAAGGACTCAGTAAGAGTTTTGCAGGCGTCAATCTGATATCTACATAGGGAACAGGAAACGACCCTTTTCTACCTGATCTGGTGTAGCAATTTCAAAAGACTTCATTGAAAACTCATTATTCTTCCACTACTATATCGTGGTGGCCAGCGTGCACTTGAGCAGACCCCACACAGAAAAGCTACATCATTGACACCTTCTGAAGGTCTGATTCCTCCTGAGCACTTCCTTGGGTCTCTCAGGGGACACAGCGACATTGACTCTGGACACACTCTAGTGCCAGCGTAGGGACTACCACACATTAGATAGGAGCCAGCCTGGAATCAAACAGTACTGGCCTTAACCCAGACTCCATCTTTCCCCAGAGCAGGTCCAGAGGTAATTAGAAAGAATCTACTTACTGATGGGTGAGAAAACTAAGGCACAGAGAAGTGAGTTGCCCAGGTAGGTAAGTATTTCTAGAGTCTATTGTCTCCTTTCTGAGTTTCAGCTTTGTTGTATGTTTCTGGACAGATTTGAAAGAGGGGATCTGTGACTGCAGTGTCCTTGGGTATCCAACACCTCTGAGCTTCTCTGTTGCATTATCTTCACCAGAATATTCAAAGGTGAGTTTTAGTAGGAATAAGACTTCAAAAAGTTCATGGAAAATTGAATTAAATGATGTTTATTTTGGTGTAATTTTTTTAATTCAGGCATAGGTTTTTGATAATATGTGGTTCCATGAACTTTTTGTCATACCCTCATGTACTAATTTATTGGATAATAAAATTAAATGACGGTGACAGGGCTGGAAATCTATCTCAGGGGTGTTTAACACCAAAACCCATGCTTTGAACCACTTTGCTACCTACCCAAAGGTCTTTTCATATCATTGGAGCAACTGGAGAAAAGAAAGAGGCACCTAAACAATAACTAAAAAATGACAAAGCTCGGCCATGGTTACTGAATTGTATGGAGAACAACTGCTTCCACCGGCTGAACAGGAAGCAGGTTCCAACCACTTGAAAATGACAAATGGAAACTGAGATAAGAGAACAGTTAGAATTCAGTGCTACCCTCCTTGATTCTGAAAATAGCAAAAAAGTAAGAAAAGAAGGAAATAAGGAATGGATCTTGAAAAGCTGGAAGCCAATATCAATTAATTTTCTTCTGTTTTGGTTGAATAGTAAGTACGTGGGTGCTTAAACAAAGCCAGAACTTGGAAAAGGAGAAAAGGTGCTTTTGTGTGGTTAATTCTTTATCAGGTCTAACGTGTCCTCTTAAGCCACTCCTGCAATACTTGGCTGATGAGACAGCCAGAGCACGGAGGAAGGAAATGCGTAAGGCCCTTTTGAAATACTATTTGCTTTTACTGACATTTTCAGTTTGGTCTCAGTTGGCCAATTCTACAAAGGAAAACTGTCTCTCTGAGTGACAGCCCTTCCGGGGCCTCCCTTGTCCAGCATACAAAGGAAGAACAGCTCCTGGGAGGAGAGGCTGGCAGGGAGACCTCAGTCAGATGCCAGGTGAGCTACACACCTGTCTGCTCCTGGCCCAAGTGGCTGCTGTCACTGTTAGTGTGGAGCTGCACGGCAGTTTCTTCCTTATTAACATCCATTCCAGCTTTCCACCTGGCAGACAGAATATGCAAACGCAAGAGAAGCCAACTGAGGCCGAGACTTTTCAGTAAAATCTCGAATTTCTTGTGCAGCAGGCAACAGGACTCTGCCTACATGAGGGTGCCTGAGCATGGGTGTGCAAGTGGGTTCAGGTTCGTGCACACCTGTGATCAGGCAAGACAGAAGGTAACAGATAAACTCCACTTTGAACAAGGCTTGCCAGTTGTTAGCTATCTGCAAAACATCCCTGAATGAATGTAGAAATCCCTGATAGAGTGAAAATTCCATGACTTGATTTATCATGATCTTTTGAAAACATCTAATTCCCAACCCTAATAGCGTTTAGCCATTTGGGGATTGCACAGATGGTGCCAAGTGGTTCTCTTCAGGTCAACTAGCCAATGGGTGGTCACAATCTCCCTCCTGAGGGTCCCTCTTGTCTTGTAAGGACCCAGCCTTCAGGACTCTGCATCATTTAAGCCATGAATATCAAGACTTCCCAACAGGCTTCCTTAACACTCATAAGCATCTAAATTACTACCCCCAAAGGGTAGCAATAGTCCCAACAGCAATAATAGTAGCCAATACTGACGCACACTTATGATGTCCATGCCAGGCACTCTTCCAAGCAAGTTACAAGGATGAACTCATTTTATCCTTAAAACAACCATATGACATAAGGTTATATTTTTATCTGAACTTTCCAGAAATGGCAAGTAAGGCATAGAGAGAGGGAAGAAAGAAAAAATCAATCCCAGGTTCACGGAGGTAGTAATGATGGAGCTGACATTCAAACCCAACCAATCCGCACACCAAGCATCTGTGGATTTAACCACTGGGCTACTACCCCTAACCCCAAGACAGGTGACTTTAACTGACCTCTCACCCTCACCAAAGCTTAGCTGACATGATTTCCAAGACTTAGGTAGTATTAGAGGAAGGTGGAGGCATGAGTAGTCACAGCAGACCTCTAGACAGAGCCCATGCCTGTGACAATGACACTAGCCAGGCAGTGGACCACCAGAGGGAGGCAGGACCCCCCAGATGTCTGCCAGTGCTCCTGAGATACAGAGACCACTGGGATTAGGGATCCTCTTCGACTTTAGTGGCTAATATTAATGGCTGATTGCAACTCTCAGACAAGCCTGTCCAACTGGACATATATCAAGAGCAGGTTCTGTTGAGCCCTCTGATCTTCAATAAATCTGTGTCATGCAAATAAACCATCGCAAATCCCTCCATCCAGCAGATGGAGTGAGCTCAACGGAAAACACTGACCATTTGAGGCTGCTTGCAGATTGGGAGAGGAGTCTCCCGAGGAAGAAACGCCACCAGGCCTCTGTCCTGCTCATCGCCCCAGGGCAGAGGGCAGCATGGAGGGGCAGCGTTCTGCATCCAGGGGCCTC